CTGACTGATTCGCCAATTTCTTTATAAGAGAAGAAAAATTGATACGAATCGCTCTTTTATCCGACTTAATTTATTGAATAATATTAGAGGGGTAAGTACTTGAAAAATGAGAACAAATTGTCATTGCACTTAGACAATTTTCTGACACTGACTTATGGTATTAATCGATATTCGGTTTTCGGTACTGATTTACTCTTTCATTTCTCTATAAGAAAAAGAAATTTATATGAATCGTTTATTTGTCCACGTTAATTTGATGAATAAATTAAATACTGATCGATCTTCAATTTTCGGTACTGATTTATTTTCTCATTTTTTTATAAGACAAAAAATATTGATACGAATCGTCGGTCTATCCGAGTTAATTTGTTAAATAAAATGAAAGGGGTAAGTACCTGAAAAATAAGAACAAATTGTAATTGCACTTGGACAATTTTTTGACACTGATTTATGGTATTAATCGATATTTGGTTTTCGATACTGATTTACTCTTTCATTTCTCTATAAGAAAAAAAAATTCATACGATTCGTTCATTTATCCGCGTTAATTTGATGAATAAATTAAATATTGATCGGTCTTCAATTTTCGGTACTGATTTATTCTCTCATTTCTTTATAAGACAAGAAAAATTGATACGAATCGCTCTTATATCCGACTTAATTTATTGAATAATATTAGAGAGGTAAGTACCTGAAAAATAAGAACAAATTGTCATTGCACTTGGACAATTTTTTGACACTGATTTATGGTATTAATCGATATTCGATTTTCGGTACTGATTTACTCTTTCATTTCTCTATAAGAAAAAAAATTCATACGATTCGTTCATTTATCCGCGTTAATTTGATGAATAAATTAAATATTGATCGGTCTTCAATTTTCGGTACTGACTGATTCTCTAATTTCTTTATAAGAGAATAAAAATTGATACGAATCTTTCCTTTATCCGACTTAATTTGTCGAGAAAATTAGTGGGGTAAGTACCTGCAAGATGGAAACAACTTGTCATTGCACTTAGACAATTTTCTAATGCTGATTTATAATATTGATCAATATCCGGTTTTCGGTACTGATTTACTCTTTCATTTCTCTATAAGAAAAAAAAAATTCATACGAATCGTTCATTTATACGCGTTAATTTGATGGATAAATGAAATATTGATCAGTCCTCGGTTTTCGGTACTGATTTATTTTCTCACTTTTTTATAAGACATAAATTTGATACGAACCGTTCGTTTATCCAAGTTAATTTGTAGAATAAGATTAGAGGGGTAAGTACCTGAAAAATAAGAACAAATTGTCATTGCACGTGGGCAATTTTTTGGCACTAATTTATGATATTAATCGATATTCGATTTTCGGTACTGATTTACTCTTTCATTTCTCTATAAGAAAACAGTAAATTAATACGAATCGTTCATTAATCCGCGGTAATTTGATGAAAAAATTAGGTATTGATCGGTCTTCGGTTTCCGGTACTGATTTATTTTCTCATTTCTTTATAAGAAAAGAAAAATTGATACGGAGCGTTCGTTTAACCGAGTTAATTTTTTGAGTAAATTAAAGGGGTAAGTACCTGAATAATGAGAACAAATTGTCATTGCACTTGGACAATTTTCTGACACTGATTTATAGTATTAATCGATATTCGGTTTTCGGTACTGATTTATTTTCTCATTTTTTTATAAGACAAAAAATATTGATACGAATCGTCGGTCTATCCGAGTTAATTTGTTGAATAAAATTAAAGGGGTAAGTACCTGAATAATAAAAACAAATTGTCATTGCACTTGGACAATTTTCTGACACTGAGTTATGGTATTAATCGATATTCGATTTTCGGTACTGATTTACTCTTCCATTTCTCTATAAGAAAAAAAATTCATACGAATCGTTCATTTATCCGCGTTAATTTGAATTTAATTTGAATAAATTAAATATTGATCAGTCTTCGGTTTTCGGTACTGATATATTCTCTCATTTCTTTATAAGGAAAGAAAAATTGATACGAATCGTTCTTTTATCCGACTTAATTTGTCGAGTAAATTAGTGGGGTATGTATCTAAAAAATAAGAACAAATTGTTATTGCACGTGGACAATTTTCTGACGTTGATTACGGTATTGATCAATATTCGATTTTCGGTACTGATTTACTCTTTCATTTCTCTATAAGAAAAAAAAAATTCATACGACTCGTTCATTTATCCGCGTTAATTTGTTGAATAAATTAAATATTGATCGGTCTTCAATTTTCGGTACTGACTGATTCTCTAATTTCTTTATAAGAGAATAAAAATTGATACGAATCTTTCCTTTATCCGACTTAATTTGTTGAGTAAATTAGTGGGGTAAGTACCTGCAAGATGAAAACAACTTGTCATTGCACTTAGACAATTTTCTAACGCTGATTTATAGTATTGATCAATATCTGGTTTTCGATACTGATTTAGTCTTTGATTTCTCTATAAAAGAATAAAAGATTGATACAAATCGTTTGTTTATCCACGTTAATTTGATGAATAAATTCGATATTGATCGGTATTCGATTTTCGGTACTGATTTCTCCTTTCATTTTTCTATAAGAAAAGAAAAATTTCAGACGAATTGTTCATTTATCCGCGTTAATTTGATGAAAAAATTAGATATTGAACGGTCTTCGATTTTCGGTACTGATTTATTCTCTCATTTCTTTATAAGAGAAGAAAAATTGATACGAATCGTTCGTTTAACCGAGTTAATTTGTTGAATAAGATCAGAGGGGAAAGTACCTGAAAAATGAGAACAAATTGTTATTGGACAATTTTCTGACACTGGTTTATGATATTAATCGGTATTCGATTTTCGGTACTGATTTACTCTTTCATTGCTCTATAAGAAAAGAAAAAATTGATACGATCGTTCATTTATCCGCGTTAATTTTTTTTTTTATTATATATAAGTGATCCATGGGACGATTAAATATTCGAATACATGTTGCCATATCAAAGCCTCCTCTATAACAAACGATTTGACACGTCTGGAGACGCATGATGTGACGTTGCCCGCATCCCATTCCCTTCATCCTGCTTCCCTGTATAAAATGTCGAATTGAGACGTATTAAAAAGTATTGACATTTTGAATATGTCTGAATTCTGAATCTTTTTGATCCGAAGAAAAGGATTGAAAAGTATTAGTTCCCATCAAATTTTACTGCGCTAAATGCGAGACGGTCTCTTTCGCCCGGGTGCCTCACCAGGAAAATTTCTCTGGTACGCTAAATCCCGTAAGGCCATCAGGCTTTGTAGTATATCTCGTCGGTGCATAAGGTTTATATTACCTGTACATACATATTTTGAAACATTTTCTTTGGATATTATATCAAACGGGTTTTGCGTGTCACGTAATAATATCCTTCGGACTATACACGGACATTATTATTTTGATCATTTTGATTTCTTTGGTATTCATTGAATTATCCAGAACACGCAACTGCCATGTTGAACGACTCAATTATCGTGTGAAATGTTTCGATTTTCACAAATTCATATAAAATTTTTCATTTTTCACTGATTCACAGAAGTCTTTCACTTCTTATTAGTTCACGCTAGGAAAAAGATTCATGATCGCTGCCCCGAGCAGCTGCAACGCTTTTCGAATCATCTATGTCGGCGCGCTTTCACTCTTCAGATTTCTGTCATTAATAACTCGATAATTATTGCGAATCTCGCAAAATGGTATGGGACTTTTATGTTTGTCTCAACCCAATCTACCCTCACACTTCGGGTTGGCAGCTAATTACCGAACATTTCGTATAATCTTCATGATATTAATCATACACAAAGTCAATTCTTTTTTTTTGCACATGTTAACATGTTAATTCATGTTATAAACTCGTAACAATGTGCGAGACCGTGCTTGTCAAGTACGCTATTATGGTTGTAGCACGGACATAAACCGCTTAAAAATGAATGTAGCACGGACTGCCACCACATACAGGTTTTACCGCCGAAACCCGAAAGTGGATGTAGCATCGTAGTTCCCCTCTCAAAATGGATGCAGATGGCGCCTTTCCCAGTGCGGAAAGTCGGTGTCGTCGGAAACACCGTGTTGGCCGCTCTCACGTTCCTCTCTGCAGATAATAAAAAATACTTAGGGCCGTATTCATAGTCGGATCTTATATTTAAGACCGTCTTGAGTTCACGTTCAGATATTCTGTAGCCAATGAAGTGATCTATACAGCATCTGAAGATGAACTTAAAACGATCTTAAATATAAGACCGGACTACGAATACGGTATTAGTATAGCAGTTAACTAAAACCAGTTAAGGCCACTTTTTGAACTCGTGCAGCCAGTGCAGCAATAAAAAACAAATTTCATGTGGGCCGCGCTTGGTTCGAGCGGCTTCGTTGCTTTTTCGAGACCATCTCGGCACGTGCTCATTCGTTACATTTCTGTAATTAATAGTTCGGTTGTTGCGAACATCGCAAAACGGTATGGAAATTTTATATTTATCTTAATCCGTTCTATGTTTTCATGAATTCCTCGGAGCGAGGAATTTGTGAAACACTCTGTATATGTGTTTGCAAGTTGGATTGCAAGTTTAGTATTATTTCAACTTCGAATTATTAACTTAATGAATGCCAACGTGTGTGTATATTTAAAATAAAAATTATTCTAAATTTTCTCACGTCTTTCAATCCTAAGAGAGACATACACACATACATATTCGATCTGTTTTCTGTATTAATAGTCTTTTGGTCTGTTCTTTGTAGCTGCACTGTTGAACTGGTGCAATAAGTTAGAGTGAGACAAATATAGGTTTTCTCACTCTAGCTTATTGCACCAGTTCAGCAGTGCAGCTATAAAGAACAGATCATTTGATATCTTTCGATACCTTTTTCCCATTATTCCATGTCTGTTACCATCCTTGTTTCGAGCTATGTTTCATATTTCGGCCACGATATTCCTAAGAGGACGCTAGTGCACAGCGAAATTTCTCTGGTACGCTAAATTCCGTAAGGGGCCAGCAGTCTTTATAGTATCTCGTCGGTGACATAGGTCTCATGTTAAAGCAATAATAAACGAATTTAGATTGAAAATGTAAAAATGTACTGATAATATCTCGCATAAATAATATAAATGTGGACCCCCGCATGTCGAACTAATTCATCGCTGTGTCGTATTTTAAGTGTTCTGGCGGCACCACGAGCTTCCGCACATGCCAGAACAAGTTAACCTGAATGAAAATATGTTCTCTCCCAGAGACTCGGGTAAATCGGATTATATTAGTTTAAATATTCACGAGACCGCGTCGTCTGTACGTGGCACCTCGCGCAGTCTATGGAGGGTATGTATGTTTGAATCGGAAATATCGCGATTGCAAGGCTATTTTTAGGCCACGCAATTATCTTGTGATGCCGCATTTTTGTCGTCTCTTTGCCATTCTTACAGCTATCTATCTTACTTACAGCAATGGAACCAATTGTCCAGGTTTCAGAGAAACATCCTATACTTTGCACTTGTCACAGTTTTACTTGTAATAGTTTATCTCCTGCCTAGCGAAACCAAAGCTGGTACTTCTGACAATGAAGTAGATTATAGTAACGTAGAAGTTATACAAGAAACTGCCAAATATGAGAAGGTAGATATGTTGCATCAAGTGCCATATTTTGCATCTCTGATTGGAAATATCAAATTTTCATTCGTTCTGCAGGCAGTTGATGAAGTTGTTGTAGATAATGAGGAACAGGCTGCTGGACCTGGTGAAGTAATCGAGGAACCTGAATTTCAGCCAGAAATCAATCAAGTTGACGATGATCAAATTGGTGAACCACCGCAGCCAAAGCCAAACATTCTCAAATTTAATGGTAGATCGCAATTTATGGAATAGATCCAATGATGGATGCAACAAGTACTATTACATTAGATTAGATCAATAATGCGAGCAAGATCAAACTAATAATATTTAGGGTTTTCAGGCCCACAAAATAGTAGGCAGCAAGCTGTAGTAGCGGCATTTCAACACTCATGGGATGGGTATAAAAAGTATGCCTGGGGTCATGATAACGTGAAACCAATGTCAAAGAGGTACCATGAATGGTTTGGCTTAGGTCTCACAATAGTTGACTCCTTGGATACTATGTATATAATGGGGCTGAATGACGGTAAGAACTCTGCAGGGATATTCCTCTCTCTCTCTCTCTCTCTCTCTCGTTCTGACAACACAGATATAAATAGCCTTCTCTATCGCGTTTCAGAATTTACAAGAGCAAGGAAATGGGTAGAGAATAGTTTAGTGTTCACGATGAATAGGGATGTTAATTTATTCGAAGTTACAATTAGGGTATTAGGTGGTTTACTGGCGGCGTATCACCTCTCCGGTGATATACTGTTTCTAAATAAAGCTGTAAGTAGCTAGTCTAAAGAATCAATCCGTCCCCGGTTATCCTGACGGGAGACTGGTAAATATTAATTCGCCAAATTACCGGCGCCCTTCAAGATGGATTTAGGTGATCGCATGATGCCAGCGTTTTCCACCAGATCTGGTGTTCCGTATTCCGATGTGAATCTCGGCACCAGAAGCGCGCACAGCCCCAAGTGGGGTCCCGATAGTAGTACGAGTGAGGTTACTTCAATTCAGTTGGAATTTCGCGATCTCAGTCGTAGCACAGGGCAACCTAAATTTGAGGTAATTAGGGTTACGGAGTAATGACACCTGTGCGACAAGCACCGTATAGATTCTCGAAGGGTCGACGTGCACGTCTCTTTACGTACACGTGAATTAATTTCTCGCCTTTTCAGGCTGCAGCTGCGAAAGTATCCGAACATGTACATAAGTTAGAGAAATATGACGGCTTAGTTCCAATTTTCATCAATGCCAACACCGGACTGTTTCGGGAGTACGCGACCATCACGTTGGGAGCTCGTGGCGACAGCTATTACGAATATTTATTAAAGCAATGGCTGCAAACTGGGAAAACCATAGACTAGTTGGTATCCAAGCAGGAGATAGCACGGTGTCAACAAACCTTGTAATTAACTTGTTTATGTTTTAGCCTGCGGAATGATTACTTGCTAGGTATTTCTGGGACGCAGAAACATCTCGTAAAATACACTGCAGTGAACAAGTATCTATTTGTCGCCGAATTAGTCGGCGCTAACAAAGAGATAAGGCCGAAAATGGTAAATAGCTCCAGATGAGGATAATCCCTGTCGGATACATGTATCGCGCTGATTTACGTTGCAGGACCATCTCACATGCTATTTAGGAGGTACCTTAGCGTTAGGCGCGCATCACGGACTGCCATCGGAGCATAACACTCTCGCGGAAGAGATAGTTAAGACTTGTTATCAGACATATGCGACTCAGCCAACGTTCCTCGCACCTGAGATCACTTATTTTAATATACAAGTAAGTCTCGCGAAAATTAACGTCGATTTCGGTAGAACAGAAGGAAAAGGATCGATCACATCGCAAACCCGTTAGAAAAAAAAAAAAAAGAAAGAAAGAAAGAACCGCAGGAACGATCAGCCCAGCTTTATGATTCTTCGCAGAAAGTGGAAGGTGAAAATCAAATGGACATGTACGTAAAGACGAATGACGCTCACAACCTGCTGAGACCTGAGTTCATTGAAAGTCTATTTTATATGTGGTACTTTACGGGAAACAGGACGTATCAAGACTGGGGTTGGCGAATATTTCAAGTGAGTGATTCGTCTCGCTTCTCACCAAGTCTCGTGCATTTTTCCCCCTTTAAGTTAAAACGCCGTTTCGACAGGCCTTCGAGAACTATACCAAAGTTGAGGATGGCTACACGAGCATCGGTAACGTACGAAGTCTTCACAATACTCGCCAGCAAGATATGACGGAGAGCTTCTGGTTCGCCGAAACCTTGAAGTACTTGTACTTGTTATTCGACGATTCTAGACAATTGATCGATTTGGATAGGTGGGTATTCAATTCGGAGGGTCATCCGTTACCAATATACGAATCGTAACGCAGTACAGGCAAAATACGTGCACGTGAGTTTATTGGATTTATTGCACTTTATTCTCCATGAGATAATTTCTTGAATCGGCCGATCGATCGATCGATCGTAACGTTTCTACGACAAACGCCTGTTAAATCTATCGAGCTCTCACGACCTCGACACGACGCATTTCCTCCCCGTTATGTCGCATATTACTCTTTTGCAATAACGAACAAAAAGAAATCGACGATGCTCGCGTTACGATGAGATTACACGAGATCATATGACGATTTGACACCGCGTGTTGAATTATAACATACATCTTCCTTGAAGCATTCCTTGATACTCATTTCTACGAACACGATACACGCACTGCAAGGGTTTTTCAGATTACTACTAGGTAGTCGTTACGTAATTAAGGATTTCTCAAATTATTATTACGTAATTACCGCCCCAAGAGGGACTACACAAAAATGTATCCCTTTTTTAGTTTATCGCTAAAGACGGTCGAAGAGAAGACGCGTAAGATTTTAGCTACGCCTACCAAATGCCTAAACCTAAATGAATCAATGATAGACGCTAATAGCATCCTAGATACTCTAAATTGTGACACATTCTGTGACTTGTAGGCATACCGTTGATTTTTTACTTATCGACGACGATATTAGCCGGAGAGTACATCTCAGCACATATTGTACTTACCAATTTTACGAAACCTCCCGAGATTCTGTTGCGAACAAAGTAATTCTTACGAGATACGTATTTGCGGTAGATTTTAAAACAATGGACATTATCATTTAGCGTCAACTTCCACATTAAATCCGTATGTCGTGTATATTACTACAAAAATAATCTAGTCTGCATCTATTAGTAAATTACGCTGTGTACTTGCAATCTTCGACTACTACGAGTATAAATATTTATATAAATTCATCGAGATCTGTATAAATATTTATATGGCACGTCGGGAGGCGCGTTTTCGCGCGGTTCCCGCTTGCATCGGAAGTCGCGCGGCGTTGATTAAATCGATAAACGAAAGCGGCGGGGCGAAGTATCGTTTGGCGGAATCGTCGAGAGTCAATAGACCGGCCGGATGGGATGGAGGAAGGTACCATATGCGAGACATGCATCGCGCGACATGCAATCACATTTTGCACAATTTTGTAGTTTTTAACGACTTTATCATCCGCATACGCAGGGAAGTCATGAGAGGGGAAAACGAAAGACCGGGCGCGTTATCGACGTGGCGTGGAGGCGATTGAGTGAAATAAACGTACACGGGCATTACAAAATAAAATCCGATTTAATCATCAGCTGCGCTATTATCAAAATACGCTATTGCTAGTTACTGACGCATTAAGAGATTGTTCTCGGGTTACTCCTCGTTTGTAATAAACGCATCCTTATACGAATAACAAAAATACTGTTTTGACACTGTCTGTATTGTTTTCGTTTTCCAAATGGAATATATGTACACGTCCTCTATAAACTACTAGGGATTTATCCTTCCGTATTCGCGACTTCGCCGGGTTCCCGGCGCGCGGGGATGTCTGATGCGTTTCGGAGCGATTGTGCTGAGAAAAATTGATATTCCCAAACGTTCTTTTATCGACGTTGACGTCCAGTCGTGGCGAACACGTAACGATACAGCGTAGCTCCGTAACGCGCGAGGAGACGCTCGCGGACTCACATCTGTCTCTCGAAAAGTCTCTCGTACATCAAACACCATTTTTACGACGTCGTCATGGCAGTGTATATTCGCGCACATGCTGCAATTATGATGAATCCCCTCGCGGAGAGACACCACGCTCTAAAGATACAAGTCCATCGTGCACGTGTGTGTTTCTCGGATTGCTTCGCAATGGATATTCAAGCGGATACACCTACGACCGAGCTTCCCGCCGAACGTACAAAACTCTCGGTACTTGATTTTTAAGTATCGTAATGTCGGAGATTCTTAACGCGAAGGGGAGGCGGGAACGAACAGGGCTGCACCCGCGAACGTCCACGCGTGCGCACATATTGACAAAATTTTCTACACATCGTACCGCAGAATGTACATTTTACTGCCCTTGTCTCTGTACGTGTGTGTGTGTGTGTGTGTGTGTGTGTATATAAATATATATATCACAAAAAGTGTCCTAACGGTGCTCGACAATTATTATGATGTCGGTTTCTGAATCTTTTGCGTCAAATCACGTCTGCGCATTGATTTAAAGAAGTCATTAAATGGACGAGGAGGAGGAGGAAGAGGAAGAGGAAGAGGAAGAGGAAGAGGAGGAGGAGGAGGAGGAGGAGAAGGAGGAGAGGAGGTGATGATGACCGTGGTGGTATCACTTGTACGATATTTCTCGAGTCTGAATGTCCGGAGACCTCAAAGTATCGTACAGTTGCAGCATTGTTGCGTGTAATAGATACAATCGATCAGGCACATGTCAGGCTCCTCGTGCTCGTCGAGCGTCTTCCTTGTGTCCATGTCGAATCCGTTCCTCTCGAGCTTCGGTGCCGATTCCGGCATAGGTGGAGTCTTCTGAACGATCGGCGTCGCCTCCTCTATCGCCTCGACATCGGTATGCAACATAGTCTCGTTGTCTGCGGCCTTCGATATCTTCTCCGACGTCGTGGGCGACGGAGTCGTGATCGGGCTGATATTCGTCAGCTTCGCGTCGTCTGGCACGTCGAAGTCCGTCGAAGACATCGTTGCCTGCACCGGAGATGATGAGTCGCCGGATGACATTATCACGCTGTAAAAGAAAAGGATTATATAACTTACTCGAAAAGGAGGAGATCTGTAACGACGGGTCTCCTGATAAGTCGAGTCTTCGAATAAATACAAGATGAGAGAAGAATGCCAAGGTCGAAGACAGATTAGACTTCCACTGTTCTGTCATCAGAATATCCAGAAAAAAAGAATTCCTTTCGTGGTCAGAATTTCTTTCTCGCAACTCCGGTCACAGGACACGACCGTATCGCTTTTTTTCCCAAGAGCGAAAATATGAAAAATGAGAAGTTTCACGTGAATAGGGCGACTTTAGGAATCCTGTGGCTTCCGAACAATAGGAAAGTCAAGCTTCTCACGTTCCCGTTACCGTTCAGGGAAGGATACTTTTTCGCCGACGCCTTGATAATTATCGGCGAATATTCAGGACGTCGGGATTTTTTGAAATCTCGGCTCAAGCGGTTGGAACAGTCGGAGCGTATCTACGACGGGATTACAGGGAACAATGCCTCGAGAGCGTGTCCCTTGGAACCCTCGAGAACCTACCACCGCGCCTTCCGGCAAGGGTGCGTTCGGGTTCTCTCCTCCGGGGTTAGGGTGGAATAGAAGGACATTTGCTGCGGCATCTCTAGAAGACGGTCCGTGCGCGTTCACTGGGGAGCACTTTCGTCACTGAGAGATATGTCTCGCCGGCGCGGCCTGTTTTGTAATTTTAGCGGAGCGCTTTGAAACGCTATACTCCCATCGCTCGTATGTGCGCAGCCAGCGTGATGCGACTCTTTAATAAGGTCCGTCTAATTTAATCGTCCTTCGATGCTTTTTCGCGTGTCTCGCGAAAAGCGCGGCGAGCTTTCCGCCGCTCTGCGGACAGAGGAGACAGATGGTCCGTTTTTTTAGCTGCCCTGCTGAACTAGTGCAATAAGTTAGAATGAGACAACTATATTTTTTCTCACTTTAACTTATTGCACCAGTTCAGTAGTGCAGCTAAAAAGAACAGACTAAACGACGAGGCGACTCGTCGCATCGATGACGCTTCGCGATTTCACGTTCGAATGCGCGCGCGCGCACACACACACACACACACACATGCGTGCGGCTCGCACAAAAATCGTGCCGAATTCCTGCGAGCCGCTCGCACCGTTTAAGATAAATGTCCCAGTAACCGGACGTTTAAGCGTAGATCGTCACAAAAGATACAATATATAATATTAAGAATAGTTTTGATGTAAATATTTGCATTTATTCGAAAACTTAAGATTCCCTTAAGTGGAGAAAAATGATTTGAACCAATGTATATGTTATTAATGAAATTATTATTAATGAAATATTTACATGATGAAACTATTATTAATGAAATATTTACATAAGTAATGAAGCGCATTAACGTGTGACGCGTACCAGTGACGCGGACAGTTGAAATAAGTTATGGCCGAATGTTTGGATATGATTTATTCCAGTGTCTGGCCGCAATTAGAAAATTAGTATGTGCCAACGGGAAATAACATAAATATAGATGCTATCTCTTAATGAATTTATTAACGATTGACCGTTGTTTCGCCGAACCGAATAGGTGCATACTCATTCAATTAATTTTTATTTCAATACAAAAGTATCAAATTGGATATATTTCTTTTACAACTAATCATCAAATATTGGAGTTTTTTTACAATAATTATTACTTTCATTCATTATTGTAAAAGTAAATAGTAATTTTTTTTTTTCAAAGTGACCGGATACTGGGACGTTTACCTTACTCGATCGCGTAACGTAACGCGCGTCACATCTGCTGCACCGATTACTCGCACCGATTACGGCCTCTAATTGATCGAGTCTTAGACACGTGGGGGCGCATTAGCGGACTGAATACCGTCGGCATTCTGCCGGCTAATGGGGCCTAATGAACGTCAACTGGATCTACCGCTGCTGCAACGTGCCGCGTATTAAAATTCGATCGACACCCCGCGCGAGCGTTTTCTCCGATTCTCCCGTGCGTTCCCGTGCGCGAGAAGCAGTTAGATATATCTTAAATGTGACGTCATAATTTTGTCCTTTACATGGACCAAATTGGACTCGAGTGAAAGCCAAGTAAGATGTTAATTATAATCTTTTACATGTGCATGTTGCAGATATAAAATCAAAGTTGTTTTGGTTACGGTATTAAATATCAATCTACACGAGCAAAGTTAATCCAACAGCAGGATCTAAATTCTATTTCCAAATTTAATTTAGATGCATATTAAAAATACATTTGAATTAAATTACTCTTTAATTTAATATTTGGTTTTTACTTGAATTTAATTTGACCCGCGTATAAAGGACATATAAATATCAACCATATTTAAAACAGATTCAACTGTTTTTCGGAGGAATGAAATGCCTTGATCAGATTGCTCTCGGCTATCAATACGGTGATCGTACCCAGAATAGAAAATCGTGATGACATCCAAGTGACGAGAAAATGACCGAATCATGATGAAAAAAAAAAAAAGAGTTTTCCTCGTCATTTTGATGTCATCATGACTTTCTGTTCTGCCTGGGTACATCCTTCATTCAACAGAGGACAGTCCTTTATTTCGTTCAAAAAATATGGCCCCGTATCGATCACACATGAGGGGGGGCGATCGGTCCCGAGAGAAAATCCAGCAAACTGCGATCCCCTCCGCGCACACGAGACGAGTCGCGGGCGAAAGTTCTCGCTCCGATGAGAAATTTCGAAGATTCAATCAAAGCGGTTAATCGCAAAGTGCGACGACACCGGTCGGCCTGCGCGCGGACCGCCGCGAGCGCAACGTTACGAGAAGAACGAAGCGAAGAGGAGAAAACGGTCGGACAGAAGGTCGTCGTCCGTTGATGACGCAAGAGAAACCCGCGTTAGATCATAAAGCCATGAAAAGCGTTAGAAGGGCGGAATCGCGCGCGGCTCCCTTGGTGACTCCCCTTCGTCTCTCAATTGTGCTCGCTTAGGTCAAACCCCGAAAACTGCAGCTGTTCTACGCAGAGCAGGAGCAGAGCAGCTGAAGATATATATTCGCCGCTCGAGTGGCTTCTCGGAGTCGCGCGACGGTCTCTCGACGACGCTCGCGAATCCGCGCGGCGTTTCAACTCGGACTCTTTCGCGCGGAACCGTGCCGCGCCGTGTGCGACTGCATCCGCGGCTTGTGCCGGATAATGCAAGCCACCGGTGGAACAAACAATAGGATCAGATCGACGAGCCGAGATATACAGAGCGAGTTCGCGAGAGTTTCCGCACGGCGCGGCGCGGACCCGCGTCGAACGCGTTTCATCCTCGAGCGAGATTACGAGATACCCGGTGGACAAGGCGCGCGCGCGCGCGCGCGCGCGCGCGCGGTGGTACCGGAGGAACTTTGACGTCGTCTCGCTCTGCCGCTCGTCCGCGCGACGAGCCGGCACGGCAAAGTCCATCTTTGGCCGGGACACACGATCGATAGAAATGAACGATAATGATCAATCAGCGCGACGTGGCTGTGATTTGCGCACCGCTCTTCGTCGCGGGCGCACGTGACGCGCGCGCGCGCGAGGTCGCGTTTTCACGTCGTTTGTCACGTAACGTCGTTTGTGACTCTGGTGCGCGCGTCAAATCACAGGCACAGTCCAAGTGTCGCTGGCGCTCAGCACACACACGTAACCGAAGTTTGAACGGCAAACGCCGAGCCCGCAAACGAATGCAACCGCGCGCCGTCAACGGTCGCCGTGAACTGTCCCGCCTAAACCCGAACGGAGCGGTCTCCTACTCTGGATGCGCTTTACACGTGCCGGTTACGACAGTGCCGTAACCGGCACGGACACATGCCTGAGGCATGTGCGCTCACGCTGGAGAATACGCAGCCGAGCATTTCGGGAATTCCATGCGAGAGGAGAGTCGGGGAATCGCGGAGGGAAAGGATCCCGACACCGCGTTCATTCGCGTAAACCTCGTGGCTTTCATCGATCTAGATCGATACTAGATCGATACTATTCGATCACGCGGAAACGGGAGAGTTTGACGGAAATATCGAGTGAACAGGAATTAGGGATGTTAAAGATGTCGATTGATGATAAAAAATTGAAATGACATCGATTACTTTCTAAAAAAAAAAAGTCGATTAATCGATTAAATTTGCAAAGTAAACATTTAAATTGGTTGGCACCAGATTAAACACTGCTAAGGGTGCGTTCGGAAACATCGCTCGGATGCTCTCCTAGCTTAACATGTTGGATGCGTTCTTAAATTCGCAACAGATGTAACAGGCGTTATTCAATCTGTATTTTTCACTGAATGTTAAACAAGGATGGAATGACGTCCGCAATATTCTCAGTATTGCTAGAAATTTTCCTAAAGAACCTTGCACACCGGACGCGACTAGCGATGTGCTACAAGCGATATCTAATGAGAGTTCTGTTTTAAGAAGAAAGAGCTTTCATTTTTTCTTTAAAATAGAACTCTCACTGGACATCGCTTATTGTTTGTCGCTAATCGCGTCAGTATACGAAACCTTTAACTCGGCAACCTCGTTTGACATGTTTTCCATGTGATAAGAGGACTGATTTTGGGAAGATAAATGCTCTCTCATCGGGCCATTCGGCAACGTTCCGAAACTTATCAATAAAAACCGGACAATCCTATTGTCCATGACTATACGATAGATGTAGTAAACTTTAATCCTTAAGGAATTAAGCAACCGCAACTTACTCTTACAAGAATAATTGACTGTGGTTGGTCAATTTTTTAAGACTTGAAGCTTACTATACGTAGATCCAGATTTAACGTGATAATGAAATTCGTTTACCGTATCTGAAAGACGATGTTACAAAAATCTTCTATTAAAAAAAAAAAACAAAAAATAAGTAAATAAAAATCAGTTGCCGATCGGTTGAGGAAAGATCATCAAACATCGATTAATCGAAAATAAATTATCGGTTCTTTCGATTAATCGGCGGAAATCGCCCATCTCTAACAGTTAATAGAATAATCGACGATGTCGAGAGATGGGAGGAATTTTTTTTTGCGAATCGACAGTATCGTTGTTTAGTCGATCGGGAGTAACTCACGCGTATCGATTGCTCGCGAATCACATTCGTTCTTGACGGACTCGTGAAATCGTGCGCTTTTCGAGTTTGTGCCCTCGCTCGCCGGGGAGAAAGTAGGCGGGCAGTTCTCGCCGACGTGCTTTTCAAACCAATGAATCCCCGGCCACGGGATCACGCACTCGCGGTTCCTCTCGGCGAGTATTTACAAATACTAACCTTTGTACGATATTGATCGGAGCATAGAACTCGCGATGGAAAAGTTCTCCCAGTGTTCTATCGGTCTACGCCGGACTCTCGCTCGAGCAGCGAGCAAGTAGGAATAATTTTGCCAGGAGAGCGACGATTCCAATAACCTCCTCACTTTCACGGCAGATCCACGACGACCTGGCGTGTCGCCGACGATCGCGTCAATCCGCGGCACGCGATGCACGCAGCACGAAACTCATCTCAATTTGCGATAATCAAACTCGACGCAACGATGCAACTTCGACGAGATGCTCTACCTCCGAGGAAATCGCGAACAGCCGTGACGTTGACATTTTTTGTCACTGTGCGGTCAGCGGAGCGAAGTAAGCGACAAGAAACGAACGTCGACTCTGATAAATCGCGCGATCAACGGCAACTTATACCGAATTGCTCGCGAAGCGGCAATTTCGTCGTCGTCGTCGTCGTCATCGTCGAGCGAGACATCGTCGGCGGTTCCCGCCGAAAGAAATTCCTCAGCAGAGCCGTGCTCGGCGAACGACCGCGTCGGAGGATTACAGGGAACGAAGGGAAGATTTAACCTATACCGAATCCCTCTCTGGCCCTGTCCCCCCCCTCTCTCTCTCTTTCTCTCTCGCTCGCTCTCTCTCTCTCTCTCTCTCTCTCTCTCTCTCTCTCTCTCTCTCTCTCTCTCTCTCTCTCTCTCTCTCTCTCTCTCTCTCTCTCAGCCGACTTACTCGTAGCTTCCGTGCTGCGGCAGCGGGTTTTTAAAGCGCAACATTCTGCCGACACCGGCGCTGAAGCGAGCGCTGTACCGAGTTTGTTCCGATCGCATCGGTAATAATAACGCACACAGCCGCGACCGGCGCGATCGGTGACGGACGCGATCGAGACTGCGGCGCGTCAGAGAGGCATCCCGGACTACGGCCCGTTCGCACGGCAGTGTGTGCGCGCGCGCCTGTGTGTGCGTGCGTGCGTGCATGCGTGCGTGTACGTGTGTGTGTGTGTGGGACGCAGGACACCCTCGTCGCAGCCGGCGAGGAACCGTCGCGCGAGTCGGAACCGAACGAAAAACCGGTACGGCGCCCGGCGCGGCGGCTCGCCGAGGCCGCGTGAGCGCGCAGAAACGCCGGCTCGGCCTGTGACAATGGGGACAACGCGAGTGTGACGTCACACGGGTGAATTTCGCACCGGCCGCTCGGTAAAAGCGAAGAAGCGACATACATCATTTCCGGGGCCGGTGGCGATGCCGGTGCGACCGATACTGCGCGCGCTTTGAAAATCGCTCGTGGCGTCGCGGCAGTCGCGCGGCGAACTCACGCGAAGAGGTTAGCCTCCTTGTGCTTGTCCTTCTTCTTGCCGGAGTGAAACCAAGCGCGGGCGTGATGCTTCTTGCCGGGTTTCTTCGGCTTGCGATGGTCGCGGAGCATGTTGGAGCCGCGCGGGAACATCTCGAGGCTCGAGCTGAGGTATGCGAAATCGGATGGCCGGATGCGCCAGCGCTCTGCGTCTTACGTATCTAGCTTTGTCTCTCTCTCTCTCTCTCTCTCTCTCTCTCTTTCTCCGGCTAAGCTGCTCCGTCGTCGTTTCCAGCTCCGCGCTTCATCTCGACCGCCTACGATGCCGTCACGACGAGCGATCGCGTGGAAACTCGCTCACGGCGCACTGACAGCCTGGCGGCTACTTCGCGGCTCGAAAGGGAAGGTTCCTCTCTCCACGTGCGCCCGCCACGATCACACGTACGCGTAATCCGCCTGCGAATGTGCGTAGCGTAACGCCCCGTATGACGCGAGCAGCGATAGCTTCGAGCGAGTCATGGTGAGCGACGAGAGGCCTCTGCCGACCGCGGATCTCCGCCCGGGTCGCGCGAGTTCACCGCTCGTCTCGTCATTTTGCTGGCTCGAAGCCCGGCCGCTTGCGGCGGCGAAGTCGAGGCGCTGATGGAAAAGCCCGATGTGAAAAGTGCCGACGACATTTCTAACATTCTTGGTCTCAATTCCCCGATTGCGGATTTCGCCGATTCCCTCGGAGCCGCGCGAGAATCTCGTCGACGGCGCGAAGTTCGCGAAGTCGCGCGCGAAGGCTCCCTCCGCTGCGCCGAGAGTCGATAATCGGGGATAGCTCATGGTGCTGAAATGGACGACGGTCGTTACCTAGTGAGAGAGAGAGAGAGAGAAAGACAGAGAGAGAGCGTCAGCCAAAGGTGAGGAGGAAGTATCTTTTAGTCGAGCCGAGGTCGCGATAAATCCCGACTTCGATTCTCGCGCGTCTCTCGAGGAGAATTACGGAGCTCGCGGCTGGCGGCGTTTCGACAACGCGCTCTTCGCGCTTTATGCTTCGTACGCGCGCATAATTCAGCGGAATGATTCGTCGTATCCGCGTACGTCGACAGCCACGGTCAAGGTGGGCCGGTTCCGTCGCGTCGGGTGGATTTTGCAACGTCCCAACGTGATCCTCCCGCCGCTTTCCTCGTACGCTGACGCGCGTCTCTCTCTCTCTCTTCGCTCTCTATGTTCGACGAGTCGTCAATTACCCGCTAACGATCGCGTTAAACGAGATGAACCGTTACGTAAACGAGTGCGGAGCGATTAAAGCGATTAAAAGCGTGGGATCGGGCGTGGCGGGTGAAGCGCGGGGGATACCGGTCGGTCGACCTCGACACGCGACGAAAATCGCGCGACGCACTTTGGCGAACGTGTAGATCACGCTTGTCGCTGCAACTTTCTGCAGCGTCGCGTCGAATCTCCGCTCTCGCGGCCGCTTTTCTCTCTTCTCCTCTCTCGCTGCCGAATACCAAATAAAAGTGTGTTTGCGCTTCGTCGAAGCGCGCGCGCGCGCGCGCGCGCGCACGCACGCTCCTTTCTCGGCTCACGTCGCGCCTCCTTTTTGAGACGCGCATGTAAACGTGGCCGATATGAAACCGGTTCTCAAGTAGCGAGAGAAGCATGCGAGGATAAAAAAATCGGGAACTCCTGCGCCAGCGTCGCGTCCCCCGAAGAGCATCCCGTACAAATTATAATAGCCGCCATTCGTTCGCGCGCTCGCGGAAATTCCTCCCCTTGCGGCTTTCCGCGGCGGCGGCGGCGGCGTCTTCTCCGCGGTCGTCTGCGATTATGTTAAAAAAAGAAAATAAAAAAGCGATTACGTCAAAGAAAGAAAAAAAGAATATCGACCACGGAGAAAAACGTCCTCGCCGCGTAACGCGAGGCGGCGGGGATAAAACGCGACTCTCCGTCGTCGACGAGGCGCTAATTCCTCCGCACGTCGTTTCGGCACGTGGCGGCGATTTCGCGGAAAATTCGCGCACACTCGTCACTCGGTGTCGTCGACGATGGCACGTGTCGGGTTACGCAAAGTGCCCGTCTCCGGAGAGACACACTACACCGCCGCCGGCATTTGAGGCTGCACACCGAGGACGAGATATCGCATTCAAGACGACGGGCGACAAGAGGGCTCGGGGGAGGAGGAGAGGAAGGCGGAATATTTAGCGTTAAGGTGTGTACCGCGTCGCAACGCCGCCGCGCCGGCCGAGCCGTGCCGCGAGCCGCACCGCGAATGTCAAGCAGACCGTAACAGAAAACTTTTGCAGACGTTGTCCATTGTCTCGGTTTAGACCTCCAGAACCGGAGGCGGCGGTCTCGCGGACGCTCGCTAAAACTCAAAGAACTTTGACGAACTGTTCGGTCCCGGCGAGCGGAATCGCAGCTCTCGATCGAGTCCTCCCGCCCGCCCGCCGCGTGCGCGGGCAAAATTCGGTCGCGGCGGTCGAGAGAGAAAGAGAGAGGGAGAGAGAGAGAGAGAGAGAGAGAGGGCCCAAGCCGTCGCGGTCGAACTGTTGTCCTAAGGACGCGTTCGCGGGATTCGCGCTCGCGACTTCTATCCTCGGAGGAGAGACTGAGCGGGGGCGCTCACCGGCGCGATATCGCCGGTTGTCTTTTACTTTTATTTCGCGCACACTCGGGCCGCCTTAACGAGCCGCTCGTGAGATAAGGGGATTTTAAACGGCCTTAGAGAGAAGAAGAAAAAAAAGCAAAAAGAAGAGATACGGACTTTATGGCTTTTTTAACGAAGGACTCTCTCCGAGGCGACAACCCCGCGGTCGACCACTTCACTTCGGCCCTCGTCTTCTCCTTCCCCTTCCTCCGACCTGCCGTCGGAAAAAAAAGAAAGAACATGACAAACAAAGTTACTTCTTGATTACAACTCTCTGCAAAAATAGCGACACGAAACGCGCCCGGCCAACAATGTCTACCGGCAAACGCGCGACGCCTTCTCTCCCCGAAGCTCGCTTTGCGTTCGCCGCTTTATCTCGCCGGCAACGACAGCGTAGGCGTGCAATGACAGTTCTGAGCCTCGTCAGTGTGCCTCGAGCGTCTTCGTAACCTCGGCGTAACGAACGCGTAACATCACGCACGCGTCCCGGCACGCACGCACGCACACGCACACACGCACGCACACGATGATATATATACTCGTACGACCAACACACACGTGCACGTTACGCGCGCACCACTCACCTGTCGGACGTGCTCGGCATCTCGTGCGTGTAAACATCCGCGCGGGTGGTTATCGTCATGTCGTGCCTCATCCTCATGATTCTCCGTCATGTGCTCCGAACAGAGCGAGTTCACAGTTCGCCGGCGCGCCCCGTCGTCGAGCCACGTGGTGCGTCCGCCGTCGCGCTCACTCTTTCATTCCCGCCGGGGAATCCGCGGAAGATCGCCCCCGATCGCGCCCCGTGCTCCGTTACGGAACGCACTCGCACGCACCGCCGCACGCGCATGCTCCTCCGTACTGAATGAACGGCGCTCTCTGTCTTTGCTTGCGATCGCGAGGAGGAACTAGAAGGCGATCCGCGTCAGCCGCTGCTGGCCGTCTCTTCTTGTTTATGACGCACGTGCGACGATAAACAAGACTTTCGGTCGGCCGGCTCAGCTCATATTCGCGCGATATCGAGACGCCGGCTCGCGCTCGCTTCGCGCGTTGCGTAATAAAGCCGTGCGCGGCGCGCGGGCGGATCGCCGCGGCGGAGAAGCGAACGCACGACGACGGCCGACGAAGTCTCCTCGACGCGCGTCCACGCGTCGGCAACGCGTGAACAACTGACGGCTATCGGCCGCGGCGGCGACGGCGGCAGCAGCGGCAGCGGCGGCGACCGGTCTCTCTCCGGCTGCACCGCGCTTGGAACCCTCCTAAATCTCTCCACAAATAACACGTTCACCCCCACCCTTTGTTCCAAGCGTTTGCTACTCTCCGTCGGTGGGCCAACGCCGGACGGAGAGTCGAAACGAGCGTGTTTCCCACTGGCTCGGCCGGCCTATTGTCCCCGGCACTTGTTCCTCCGTCAGACTCCTGGCTCCTTCTGGCCGCTCAATAATCGTCCCCCCCCCCTTTCCATTAACGATCGTCCAGCGATAGATTAACGTCGAATCGCGAATCGACGCGAGCACCCGTCCGTCCGTCCGTCCGTCGATCGTTTCTTCTCGCCTCTTCCCGATGACGTCCGCTCGATGAAGAATCCATCATCGCGGACGACTCAATTAATCCTCATCCACCGTTTTCACCCCGTTTTCGGCGGGGGCGGTTTCACGAACACGTGCGCGCGGATCTTTCACGATCGCGCACGCTCGCACGCGGCTGATCTCGAAATAGACGCGGCCGAGGGAGCGCGGTGCTCAATAGGCGCGTAACGCGTGATTTCCTCCGCGCGGCCGCCGCGCGGCGGCGGCGGCGGCGGCGGCGGCAATCGCACTCGCGCCGCGGTCGAAGCTGAAAACTCGCGCGCGCGCGGCGAGTGTCGCACGAAACCATTATCCAAACGCGTACGGCTCGTTTTCGTCGCTCGCGGCGGCACGCTCGCGCGCGTCACGATGGGGCTCTCGAAGAGGGTCGTCGCGCGCTGCCCCTTCCTATACGGCGGTCTTGTGGGGTCCTTTGTTACTCGCCGCCTGCCGAGAGCCGTCCGGTCGGGGGAGAGAGAGAGAGAGAGAGAGAGAGAGAGAGCCTGCGTACGCGTCGGAAAGCCTCAATTTTCAAGAGTCAACGCGCGAGAAAGAGCGCCGGCCGTTCACGAGGAAGGAAACATCCGCCGGGATAGGAGGACGTCCGGGGAGAACGATATCGTCACGCGATACGCCGCTGCAATTTCCACGTGATAGCCGAGGTATTCGCGCACGATACGTCACGCGCCGGATAAGATCGGAATGGAAATTGCGAGTTTGCGAGTTGCGCACGGTGCGTGCATCGTCACGTGTGGCGCCCACCTTGCTGCCTTCGTGTTCCGTCACAGGGAGAGGATGGGCGTCGTACGTGAAAAATAACGCTGCATTTCCGTATCCGCGGACGCGATCGTGTAAACGTTATCGCTGACACCGCTCGGTCTTAAATAGGGTGGCCGGGATTTCCGGGAATGTCCGGGAATTTCTTAAACTTGTCCCGTGTCCAGGAATTTCGGTCTTCTGTCTCGGAAAATCAGAATTTCAACAAAATCATAATCATAACATTCATGTTTCTAACTGGTCTACCTAGGGATGCAACGATAAATCGATAATATCGATATATCGAGAGACAAATATCGAATATTTATCGATATTTTTTGTCTCCGATGAAATCGATATATCGATATGAATTTTACTGATATATTTCGTATTTTTCAGTTACAGCTCGGGGGGGGGGGGGCTATTACGGTTCTACGACCGAGATGAAAATTACAAAAGTGAGTGAATTCACTGGAATATCATGTAATTGCTCGATGTCTAGTAAATTCGTTCACTTTTATAATTTCCACCTCAATCGTTGAACCGTAATAGATCTCCTGCTCCATATATGCGGTGATCTCCGGCAAACGACTGCGGTTTATTATATATTTTCCAATAAGAATATGACGATAAATTATATGAGGAGAAGAAATTTTAAAAGATCTTTTTAAATTTTCCTTTATACACATACTCCTATATACGTACATCCTATATATACCCATATGTATACATTTTTTTTTTATATAAATATCGATATAAATAATATCGATATTTTTCAAAATTATCGATATTATCGATGTTATCGATGATTCCGAATGACGATAATATCGTTATCGATATTTTGAGAAATCGTTGCGTCCCCTACTGGTACCAGAGAGAAACCTGAGTGCGGCCGCCGCACGATTTATAGGGTCGAATTTTTCGATGTGCCACCTAAGAAAATTGATGTCAACTAAGCCATTCGCGTGGTAAAAAAACACAATCGCACGGTTTATGTTCAAACTTCTCTCTGCCGGTTACCTAATTTACGCATTTGTTTGTCGCGAGTGCACAGCGGTATCTCTTAGCTTAGTTTTACCTCTTAGCTATCTTACCTCTCGGTCTCTCAGATTTAATTAAAATTCTCTAACAACCTACTTTTCAATTGTCGCCTAAAAAATGTCCCCGAAACCGGAAGTCATTTCGCGTCAGGCGACCCTAGTCTTAGGTAGCCGGTTGTTCCAACTTCTTGCGAAGTTAACTGTTAATTAAGTCATATGTCTATCTTTGTCTAAATTGGAGAACAAACAAAGATAAACATATGACTGAACTATCAGTTAACTCACCAAGAAGTTGGAACAACCGGTCCTTAGTCATTGTTGCTGCTTGCGTAGCCTTGTCGGGCTGATCGGCGGTAAGGCCTCTCGTACGCAGAAACGGCGGAGTTACCGTGCAATCACAGTAATACACGCGTATCGCGCGTGCAACATCGCGTGCTCCGAGATGTGGCGCTTAATTAGCACTTATGAGCGATCAGAGAGAATATCACGGTCGTGGCATGCGGGGAGAATCGAGGTAGAAAAGAAGAGAATTCCGCGCTTAACTGTTTTCGATACGAGCGAGTCCGGAGAGAGAGAGAGAGAGAGAGAGAGAGAGAGAGAGAGAGAGAGAGAGAGAGAGACAGAGGCGACGGTTCTGCTGGAAACTCCCTGTGTAAACTGTAAAGCCAGCGGCACACGGTGCTTGTTTTCGTGCTGGATTGCTTGCTGGATGAAAATATTCGAAGATGGATGGAAATGCACCAATCAGAACGCGGTATTTTCATCCAGCAGGCAATCCAGCACGAAAACAAGCATCGTGTGCCGCTGGTTTAAACAACTTTATTCAATGTGTTCCATTCGCATGTGGTTGTGAAACTGGAAGACGCAACACCGCCGGCTCGGCGAAATCGTTGTTCCACGACGAAACGTTCAACTGCCGGCAGACTTGACCTCTCGTCGATCGAAGATCACGCGGACGAGGCGAGGTTTCCTCAGATCCTCGTGGGCTCTTTTATTTTCTTCTCCGTGTTCGCCTTATCCTTGCCCGCCTTCTTCCGCATGTCTTCAGTCTTGGACACAAATTCGAACACGTCGTTCGCCACGAGAGCCGGCTCCTCGAACGCCGCGAAGTGACCGCCGCGCGGCAAGTGGTTAAATTGTATCATATTAGTGTACTTGTCACGAAGGAAGCTCTCCGATTGGTAGGCGAGTTCATGCGGGAATGCCGCGCAGGCCACTGGCACGTCGACCGGTATTCTAAAAATTACACGAGCGAAGGTCAAGATAGCTCAGCTGACAGGCGCGAGAGATTTTTCGAGCGAGAAATCGGATTCGGAGGATATCGAGGAGCGCCTCGATACTCACTCGTCGATCTTGCTGCTGAAGTGAGCTTTGTTGAACTGCTCGGAGTAAAGTCGAACGCTCGTGGTCAGAGAGTTGGTCACCCAGTAGAGCATGACGTTGTCCAGAAGCTCGTCCAGAGTGTACTTCTCCAGCAGGCCGCCGTCGGGACGGAATCGGTAGTCCGGGTTCGTCCACGTGCTGAACTTCTCCAATATGTATCCCGCCAAGCCCACCGGCGAGGCCGCCACCGCGGTTCCTTCGGGGAAATCGTTCAGGTCAAGCATATGCAAATCGCTGTTGGATCTACGCAAGTCCAAGCAAATATACCTATGGTGTCCGGCTTGCTGGCTTGTATATGCATGTATCCCGATTCCTCCATTATCCGGCTGAAGTGATGGCCCAGAGGGTACATCTTGGAGGAATGCTCGCTGTCGACCACGAGCCATGGGAAAACAGCGCCGACCAACCTCCATATTATGTTGCCCATGTTGTTCAAGCCTATACACATGTTCATGTGGCTGCCGAGAACGCTGGAAAAGAGCGACCATCGTTGTTTCCGTGTGCTTTCTGCTCTTACGTACGTCGTCGTTGAGTCACTGTATTGATGAAAACTGCCACAACGTACTTGTTCGGGTATAAGCCGCTCAAATGTGTAACGATGATTGAGCCCCAGTCTCCTCCTTGGGCGTAAAACTTGCTGAAGCCGAGGCGCGACATGAGGTTTTTGAACATCAAAGACATCTGGAAAGAACGAGGAGCCGGGATATAAGTAGCGAGAAGCAACAGCAGGCATGGAGAAGAACAGCGGATTGTCAGCGCGACTGGAATGTCCCGTTGTTTATGAGCATTAAGCATGCGAGCGGGAAAACTCGGCCAGGAAGTTTCTAATCAACCGCCATCGGTTGTGTCTCAAACGAGTTTTAATGCACAGTTATTTCAGTTCTCAATCGAGTTTTAATGAACGGTCCGAGTTTGTTGTTGTCGCCGGCGAGAGAGACGGCGTCGTCTCGTTTGTCGTCGCTGAGAATTTTCATTGCGGCCCTGTTCAGCCGCGCACAAACCGGGAAGGATCTTTGCAGTATTCGCACCTTTGTATGGAAAAAAAAGTATTTAAAGTTTGCGCACACAACGGAACGGGGACCAGCAGCAGAAAAAACTCGGTAGTCGGAAACGTTATCTGCTGGCCGATAATATTTCTCTGAATATTCAACAGTGGTAAAGACTCAACCGACATTACTGGCGGCAATTAGCTGGTGAGAAAAATTCGGCACAAGGAATTTCCTCGTCCCCACAACTTGTCCCCAGGCTTGTCTCCGCCTGGTCTTCTCCAGTCTGCGGAAAATTCACTTGCACTGGACGGACTGCCGTTTTCTCTCGCGACGATATCCGGTGCGACGCGCGTAACACGTAATCGCGTCGTCACAGTCGGCGTCGTCCTGCGGGGTAAACTTTACCTGCGCCGGGCCTAAACCCGGTCGTACAGCTGCCTGCGAAAACGCATAACCCGGAAGCGACGGTGCGATCACCTCGAACACGAAATCCTTATCGGGTCGTGGTGTCGTCAACATGGGAATCATTTTCTGGAACTCCACCACGGAGCCCGGCCAGCCGTGAAGAAGCAGCAGCGGCAGGACCTTCAGCTTTCGATCCTTCGGTAGATTCGGCGTCACATGGTAAAAGTGTATGTCCAAGCCTTCAAAGACCAATCGCGCGATTGCAATAACGTACAATTGCGTAATGTCGAGTTAACGCCAGCGGAATGATATACAGCTTTTAGGCAGGCGACGGGCACACAACGGCGCACAACTTGGAGAGGGAACTTTAACGGACAGACCGACTAAAGCAAATCGCTACGGGCGATTCTCGCGAGCAACAAAAGTGAAGCTTCACACGGCGATTTGAATAAATATACATTCAATGCGCCGAAATATACATTGAATGCAACCGGCGGGCATGAAACGACGAATCACAATCGCCGTCGCGATTGTGCTCGTTTATTCTTGCCGCATTCCACCGGTCAATCAAGCACGTGTGATTGTTGTTTTTTACCGTCGTCGCCATCGCCGAGTCGTTTTACACAAAGCCGGTCGCGCTGCGTTTCGGTCAAGCGCCGGAAAAAATTCTAACGGTACTTTTACAGCCGGCCTGCCGACGAGTGCTTGACATTACGGCCCGGCGTTTATTATCCTAACCGGGCCGGTTAATGGCAAACACAGACGGGAGAAAATTCCGAAAAATAATAGCACGACGACGGCGGCGCTCGTTTCTAGATCAACTCTTTCGCCCGGCGCGCGGATTTCACAATTTGTTTTTCGTTTGCGCGCACACGAAAGAAAGAAAGAAAGAAAGTGTAACGGTCAAGGGTCGGGGGGGGGGAAGGGGAATTTATTACCTTGTATATTGGTCACGTATTGAGGATACTTGTTTAGCAGCGCTTGCCGCTCGGTCCAATTGTACTTGCTGCGCCAATATTCGACGACATCCTTCAGGTACGTCGTGCTGATGCCGTAAGTCCACGCGACGTTCTCCAGCGGCTCCACGAGCTCCCTCTTCTTCGCTAGCCGTTCGTTTAGGTCGTCGATTATCTTGGCGAGGAAATTGCATTTTAAAAGGAAAGTCCTTGCGCAATCGCCTTTCGGCATCGCCGCGATCGCGGCGAGGAGACGTCGCGATTTAGCGTTTAGCGTTGCTCAAGTACTGATAATAACGAAACGCGCCGACGTTTCGCGCATTTCGTTTCTGCATCTCACAATCGAAGCGATCCGTTGGGGATCGATTCGTCGCCGCGTCTACGCGATCGAATCGATTTATATACTATTCATCGGCCCGTACACAGAAGATTGCGACATTCCCAGTCGTTGTGTATTCGCGCGCGGTGTTTGTGCTGTGGCAGACTACTCGATATGTATATGTTTGCCTCTCATCCTGCTGTAAATTAGTAAATAATTGGCGCACTCGCGCGGCACAACGCGAATTTCAGAAGATCTTTTCGCGCTCGGAAGCAACATTTAACATGTATTTTACGGAACCTGCGATGAGAAAACCGTGAAAAGAAAGTAGAGCGTAAGGAAGACGCGTGCGGGAAGGTACTCTGTGCTGAAGAGACCTTGAAAGTTATGAGTCGCGAAGTTCCACTACAAAAGATACAACAACAATGAAAAATGTATACGAGGTGAATGGTTCCCTTACAATTTCGCTGAGGAACTAAAGGAATTTGACGTAAAAGCCCACATCGCACACATCCGTTTTCTCTCTGAGCGGCGTTTCAGCTCGCGGTTATCCAAAATCTTTTGCGCAAAGTGAAGCATATTGCCGATGTGCGTTCATTCATTCTTCTATCTCAAAATGTTTATTCATGCTTGACCTCAAACTTATATGAAAGACAAAGTATTGGACAAAAGAGTATTAGTGTCTTGTTTTTTTTTTTAAGAGATGATTCACGTAATTCTTTGTCAATTTATACACTTATCTTAATTGATTAGAAGTATGTAACATGCGGCCAGTTGGCCGTCTCTTATCAGTCAGAGTTCACGTTAGAAACATATTAATCGGTACATTGCATAGTTTCTTTCCTCTTTCTCTCTCTCTTTCTCTCCGTTAGTTTACTTTTAATAGCTAAGGCCGATACTGATGAATTGACAGATCAATCTCGAGCATATGCATATTTCACATAATAATATGAGATAAACTCGGCAAAGTATCAAGTGACGGATATACAAGAATAGAAAAGCGTTAAACATTAATATTTAAACGTTCCACCCTCACTCCAAAAAAAGCGGTATGCTTAAAATATAAATGGGGAAAATTTAGCAAACTTCAAATGATTTGGTAAATAATAAAGATAGAGAGGTCTCAAAAAAATGAAAATAAAGTTTGGAATCTCTAATTGAAGAATCGATTTATTTCAATGTAGCGAGAAAAATCTATTGAAAATGGCGAATGACAAAGCGAGAGGATGCGTAATTGAAAAATATTTATCCGAGTTTGCCACGGCGTATGGCGAGAGTCAAGTGTGGTAACGCAATCATGTGAAAAGCACCGTGATAGTGCAAAGTCTCCTCTTTAAAATGCTCTCTCAATCCTTTCGATACGATGATTTGTCGCCGAATAATTCGCATTTAAAGTCAAACACTGCTTTTTCCTTCAAATGTGAATAATTCGGCGACAAATCGTCATACCGACACGATTAAGAAAGCACTTTAAAGAGGAGACTCTGTACTATCATGTGCTTTTTATCTGCTTGCGTTATGACACTTGACTCTCGTCATGTGCCGTCATGTAAACTCGGACGAATATTTTTCAATTTCACATGTTCTCGCTTTGTCATGCGCCATTTCCCATAAATGTTTCTCGCTACATTGAAATAAGTCGATTCTTTACTTAGACATTCCAAGCTTTATTTTTTCCATTTTTTAAAGACCTTTCTATCTTTATTATTTATCAAGTTATGATCATTTGAAGTTTGATAAATTTTTCCCGCATTTTAAGTGTACCGCTCTTCCGGAGTGAGGTTATACACTTGCTCTCACAATTGCAATATAACGTGTTATGTAACAGATTGCTACGCAGCAAATATGTGTGAAGTATGACTCCAGGGGCGAATCTGCTTCGGAGAGACTAGAAAGAAACTAGTCGTCCTTACCGATTTCGGCACATTGATGACGAACGGCCGTATTTCCTGCGACGCTTCTCTATTCTTTTCCGGTCCCCAGAACGTTTCCGGCAAGTCCGGCACATCTGTGACCGTGTTGGAGCTAAGTGGGAATGAAAGATCTTAAACGTCGCTTAATCGGTCGCGCGTTGGTCAACGATTCACGCTTTCGGGAGATGAGAGACTGAATCCAGAACGAGGATAAAGTTCACATCGTTACGTAAAATCTCCGCGCAGTGTTGCGGGATCGGAAGTAAATCTCTGACGTTCGCACTCACAGAAAGAACTGAGCTATCCCGATGGTGAGAACCAAGATCACCGTCGTAGTCTTCCACATGGCGTGTCTGTCTCGGCTGACGCAGAACGTACAACTGCGCGGCAAGAGCGCTCAACTGTAGATACGCTCGCTCGAAACTGGCAGGGGAAAGTCGCGGAGTAGAGTACTCGCCGTGGATTTTATTTGCACGTGCGCGACACGTTTTACGCTCGCAATTTATCGCGATGTACCTCGCGCTTCAAAGATACATCCTCAGGAGGAATGTAAAAGGGAGATAAACACACGGAGCTGTGAAAAATGATATATCCTCGCGTCGCTCTTCTAAATTCGCACATTCCTCGCGATCAGCGCGAGCCAGACCTGAACTCCTCTCTTACGGCTGTTACTGACGGTGAGAAAACAACAACGCGGTACTTAGCGAAGAGAATATACCTCGTGAGAAATATTTTTCGCGGACTTTACTCTCTCGCAAGTGACTCGAGATCGTTTCAAGTTCATTCCAAGGCAGTGTCTTCACTGCGAGAGCTGTTATCTATTTTCGTTATCTATTTTGACATTCGATACAAACTTGATACTCACTCTCCTCCTCCCACCCCCTCCTCCTCTCTCTCTCTCTCTCTCTCTCTCTCTCTCTCTCTCTCTTTATCACCCAGGAACATATCAATAAGATACTTAATGCGCGCTCACCGCCGGATAATGTTGAGACGATGCAAGAATGGACTATGAATACCGCTCTCCGGCCAGTACGTGATATAATTATCTTGCCTGATGACACAGCATGAGCACAATAAAAATCAAATTGAGCGAGGCGATATATCGTCAACTTCTTCGCACGTACCACACTCGATTGCAGAATGGTTTGGTCGCAAAGAAATCAGCAACTGTACGATTTTATCAGGTTGGTGCAAAAATAATTGCAGTTTCGAGTACAAAGACGCATATATATCAGTTAAAAATTATATTTATTAATCGAAATAAAGACCATTGGACCTGCGCACATTTCTCCCAACGGGAAACAAGTTTGTTTACTCCTACAAGATAAAATTCTGGAGAAGATAACGTTAACTAGAAAGATCAAACTGAAAATGATAAGAACCGCAATTATTTTTGCACTAACCTGATAATTGGAAATTGTGACGACTTACAGCCAATATCGACAGACTCGCGCGAGTAACCGGTTACGACAGGAACTGAAATGACGTTACGCTGTATACAAACATTTATTACCCTTTATTACATTGTTATTTCACACAGAGAAGCGTATCAGAGATATCGCGCTTTCTCTTTGCTTTTTCCGTCTGCTGTAAATTCAGCTCCCGTCACTACTGATTACCGTCGGAATCACGTCATCATCAGTAGCTCTCTGTCGTTTGATAATTTTTTTACCTCGCGATAAGTTTCCAAATCGTTTTGTAATCGAGTGTGGAAATCACGAAAACGATAGGGGAACATTATTATAACGGTAAGCCGATGTCCGTTATCGGGCTTATGAAAATACATTTCTTTAACAATATGCAAAACACCTTCTTTAACAGCATACCTTTAACAAAATACCTTAGCCTACCATCCATCTGCCTCGATTAAATTTGATAGAAACACGCGTAAGAATTACTCTTGCCCGCGAGAGGCAGTTAAAAATATATTTTAAATATAGCATCACCTTTGTTTATATGGACCAAATTAGATTCAAATAAAAACCGAGTGGAACGTCAATTAAAATCATATTTGTCCCAAGTATAAAATTCAATTTGGACTCAGTTTTGGTTAGACAATGTTAAATATTAATATCGTCTGTATATGCGCCTGGGCGAAGTTAATCTAACAGCAGGATCATATTTAAATTTAATTATTTAATTACAAAAATTAAATAAAATTATAAAATTTAATTACAATTTAAAATTATTAATTATTTTTTCATCATTGAAATTATTAGAAATTAAATAAAGATTTAGTTTAGGTGCATTTAGGAATATATATTCGAATTAAATTAATTTAAAAAATTTATTTAAATATCTGGTTTTTATTTGAGTCCAACTTGGTTAACATAGAAGATAAACATGAACGATAATTTAAAACAGAGCTCGGCAAAATGTGCACGCGACGGCCGATTTTCGACTATCTCCGCCCACCGCTATTCCCTTTACCTCGCCGCTCCGCCCTTTACCTCCGAGCGCGCTGCTCACAAGCCGCTCGAGCCTCAGGAGCGTATTTCCAATAGTTTTCACGTCACCCATGAGGTACTATTGTTGACGCGTTTTTTTTTAAGTGGTATCCCCAGAGGCCTCTTCATTTTTCAAAAATAAAGTTTATAAACAATGAGAAGTGTTCTTCTTTAAGCGACGATTCCTTACCACGTCTTATGCGGCTCGCTACATGCAATATCCAAATTGACGTTTCCACTCTTACCAATAAAAGACGCCGAAAATCCAATTGAATATTCTTCATTTAACATCTTTTAATTCGCTTCTGTTCAATTAGTTACGGGTTGATACAGTCACCGGTGGATTAGGCTTACTGAGGATACCACTTAAAGGAAAACGCGTCAACAATAGTACCTCATGGGTGACATGGAAAACTATTGGAAACACGCTCCTGGGACTCGAGCGACTTGCAGGCAGCGCGCGGAGCGGCGAGGTAAAGGGAATAGCGGTGGGCGGAAATAGTCGAAAATCGGCCGTCGCGTGCACATTTTGCCGAGCTCTTGATTTAAAACATATTTAACATCGTTTATCGCGGATGGAATTCTCGCTGAGAATTACAAATCGCTCTTCTTGCCCTCATTTTTCTCCTCTTTCGTCTTCTTCTTCAGCACTTCCATCTCCTCGATGGAGGCCCAGACATCATCCGCGAATAATTTAGGTTCCTCCAACGCTGCAAAATGACCACCTCGAGGCATAGGAGTAACGCGCACGAGGTTCAAGTATCTGTCCTTTAGTATGTTCGTAGCGTGTACTTTGATCTCATTGGGGAACTGCGCACAGGCGCTGGGAACCTTTATCGGCAGCCTGTAAATGAGACTTGTTTGCGGTTGTTTAAGGAAGTTCTTCATGCGATAACACGAGTGCTCCAGATACCGATTACGTACCGTAACATGTTGAATACGTGATCACTGATCCACTCCGAATATATTCTCATGGCTGTAGTCATGCTGTTCGGCACCCAGTACATCATCAGAATATCGATAAGCTCATCGTACGTAAATTTTTCCTCAAATCTGCTATCCTCTTTGAACTTGGAATAATCCGTGATGAGCCAATATTTCTCGACGATATACGACGCCAACCCGGCTGGTGAGTCAGCTAGAGCGACCCCTGAAGCAAGCGCGGTAACTTTGAACACGTTGCGCTTTTGCGGCAACACTTATCCAGTGTGTTATTAACTACTTGGTTTTAAATATGCAGTTGCGTAAGGAAAATAACATGCATACAAAGTTCAATTATGTCATATACCTATCGTGTCGGGCTTTGTGGCTTGAATATGAAAGTATCCACTTTCCCTCAGCGTGAAGATTAGCTGGTCTTTCGGTGACAGGCGCGGCTTGAAATCGCCAAAAGGTGAAATGCTCGAAGGGAGGTAGCTGTAGAATGTCTCTTTTAACATCGACCACAGGTTCATTATCGTGCACATATTGGAATGCATACCGAGCACACTGCAATATTGAATGACGCTTAGGACGCAGCCGCGCTTGCGAGTTTAACGCCAGCGGATTCTTAGCCCGCCAGAACTTACTGCTGCGGGAAGAGAATCGACATGTCGTTGTTGATAATGGCACCCCAGTCGCCACCTTGGACGTAAAATTTGTCGAAGCCGAGCCTCAACATGAAATTCTTCAAAACTACCGCCATATTGGTACTCGACAGACCGCGTATCGTGGCGGCGCTGGAGAAACCGAAGCCGGGCAAGGAAGGCGCTATCACCTCGAACACGAAGTCGCGCTCCGGTCTCGCGGTGGTCAACATCGGAATGACCTTGTAAAATTCAATCACGGAACCGGGCCACCCGTGCAACATTAGGAGCGGCAACACGCGTTTTCCGGCCGCGTTCTTCGGTTTTACACGCAGGAAGTGAATGTCCAGTCCTGTTGAATTCGAAGACGCGTTGGGAGCAAAGATCTTGTAATTTTTTCTTGTAATATTTACCCCGTACGATACAAACTGAGAAAAAATGTATCGTTTTGCAAAAATCGCGATAGTTATTAAAGTATTAACAATTGAAGGTGATCACACCTACACTAGGAAAAGAAATTTAGTGTCTCTAACAAAACTGTTTAGTTGAGGCATTTTTTAATAGCAACCAAATATCTCGTTTTATATAACAAAACATTTAGTTGTCTCAACTAAATATATTTTTCTGCTTTGTTCTGCGGACCAAAAATGGATATTGTTCTTAGACTTCATATGTAAAAATTAAGCATTTTAGTTATTTTATCCATAAAAATTACATAATAACGAAATATTATTTTACATAAACTAAAATAATGTCCAATGGATACTATTTTGTTCTTCTGTGCACTAAAATTTAGATTTTATATATTAAGAAAAAATTATGCTATTTTTAACAAAATTCATATAGTCGAAGCTTTTTGGTTGCTATAACAAAGGTATTACGTTATACGAGCAAACCGTAATCAAACAAGATATTTGTTTACAGGAAATAAACAGTTTTGTTGGGCATATTTTAACCAAATTATTTTGTTGACACAACAAAAATTTTGGTTCACGCAACGATACATTTTTCCTAGTGTAGAGGCTCTTTTAATCGATAACTTGAAAATTTGCATACTTGTTTGCAAAATGGTAAAGGGCTTTTTTCTTCAGAATCAGCAATAAATATTGAACTTTGAATCTTGAGTCTCAAGGTTGTTGTTAAGCGCAATAAACGTCATATACGTTTCTCATAGATAATTATAGAGGAAATCATTCTAAATGATGAAGTCGTTTACAACGTTGCGATTATAAAGACGAACGTTTCTCACCCTGCACATTGGTCTTAAACTGCGGATATTGATTTATATAATCTTCGCGCTTTCGAAAGTCGTAATCGTTCGCCCAGTAGTCCAGAAATTTACGCAAAACATCGGTGTTGGTGCCGTAAGAGAAACCGACGTCTTGCAAAGGCGGCGTTAGGTCCCTGGTATGCTTCAGCCGGTACTTCAAATCTTCCAGCATCTAGGAATTGTCCCGTAGATAGTCGCGCAATTAATCAGACGTGTTTAATCAAGAGCCACCAATTGATAAATACCTCTTGGGAGAAGCTGACGCGATACGGCTTGACCTTGTTGTCGGCGAGCTTTTCCGTACCGGGTGTCCACCAAACCTCCGTCATTTGCGGGACAGAATCGCTCGTGTTAAAGCAACAATACCTCGAGAGGATCAACACCGCCAGACCGACGGTCAGAGTAATTAGAAAATAGCCCATCTCTCGTCGGAGGATTCGCGCTCGACACCTTAGCGGAAAAAGAAAACTTCGTTCAGTCTACCAGAGACCCTGCGAGGACTGAGCTCCTTCAAAGATCTTCGATTTTTCTCTCCGCTCGCACTACGCTGCGGAAGAACACGTCAAGCGCGACTGATTTAGATAACAATGTTTGATATTCCGATACACATTATAAACCCTTAACACGTAGAGACATGATTCAGGCATAATTCAACTACAATACCGTGGGCAACTGCTTTTACGTATCAACGTTTAATATTCTGCTATAAATATTAAACGCTTGAACTGATAGAGGCATGATTCAACAGAAATACCGCTGCAAAAGTCACTTAGATATACGGCACTGTACCGAAGTAGTACGCTGACTGGCTCAACTCTAGTGGTACTCGACGATTTTAACGGCTGTTATTTTGCTGCGAGACTATTGGGGTCTTATATCGCTCGAATAACGGTTTATACTGCACTCTGCAGCGCTTTCGAGCATAAGTCGCATCTTCAATCAGTCGCCTCTGCGAGGCGTCGGAGTCGGCGTTGGCGTCGGCGTCGGCGTCGGTAAGTTACCAGTCGCGGCTGGTGCATCGGTCTGGAAAGTGCAGCGGCGGCGGCATCATCGGCTGATTCCGGCCTGGCTGATATCGATCGCGCGCGTTCTTTCGCTTCGCTAACCGTCCTTAACGGAAGCCGGTAAGTGCGCTCGACATAGTTGCGCGCAGGGAGGGAGGAGCAAAAAAAGCACGGCTACGTTGTATTCCTTTGAAAATCCCAGCGGTGTCCCTCAGGCTCCGGCAAGGAGCCTCTCTCCATTTCATCTCTCGACGTGGCGTGTCTCGGACTTTGGACTTCTGACGAGACGCGACCCGTGGCCGAGACGGAGTCGGTACAGATACAGAATGCGGAAGAGGATTCAATTAAAACAATAACAAATACATATATTTCTCGAAATGTGATACAATAGGTTTCTTGTGTTGGTGGTCGTATCTAAGTTTTTTCTCGAGTTTTCCGGTTTTCGTTTAAGTGGATCGGACGATTATTCATCGAAGACGCGGCGGTGTCCTCTACCTCGTTTTCTTACCATTCTATTTGGAGCAAAGCCGGCGGCCGCGTCTGTCTCGCGCTGCTCTCTAAAGTTCTCTACTATTTTATTTATTACTATCGTCGGATTGCGGTGTATGTCGATCATGCTAACGCGCTTCTTATAGGCCAATAACTTGTGCCGAGAGATCCACATCATCATACCGCACACTCGGTCACATCGTTAACGGCGCCCAGAAAGAGAGGTGTGTGTGTGTGTATGCGTGTGTGTGTGTGTGTGTGTGTGAACCGAATTTTTCGTTCGTCCACGCGAGCGTATGAACGTGATGATGATCGCCGCGGTCTCTCGCGGCCGCTGAAGCCCCACCACCGGCGGCCGAAATCGTCGTCGTGTGTTTTTGGCCCGAGAACACACAATTTCGTCTGTCTTGTCTATCTGCGTTTTTCCCTCCTTTCCTTCCTTCCTTCCTTCCTTCCTTTCTTTCTTTCTTCTTCGTCGCTCGCATCGCCCTTAACAATGACCGGCGTGCCGTGACAAGCAGAACACATACGGCGCGAGCTCGATATTGACTCGCGCTAATCTTCGAGTAGAGATTTCGCGGATACAACTGAGAAGAGCTTCCTCCTGCGGTCTACGGTTACGCTTTCACGAATGACGTGAGAAACCTTCGTATACTGAATGAAACGCGAAATTCCGTTTAATTACGCTAATTACGGTCTCTCTCGTTCGCATTGTTAATCACGCTCTCTATTCTCCCGTTGGACTCGTCGCGCTGGAATAACGAGCCATGCAAATGGCTACTTCACCGGATAACGATAACTTCGATACGAGACGAGACGTAACGTGACGTGACGTGACGTGACGTGACGTGACACTCTCGGGGAAGAAAAATTTTGTGCCGCTATATCTCATTGGTAACGAATCTATGGGGGGGAGGGGGGGTGTAGGGGAGGAAGAAGAGGGAAGGCGAAGCCATACGCCAAATCTGACGGCGCAAAGGACTGATCGGGTAATTCGTCGTGCATATCGCTCGGATCTATCTCGTCGTCTCGCGCAAGCGTTCCTCCGTTCAAAAAACGTGCAAGGCAATCGTGAAGAACTGTCGTCGGACGATTTCGCGCGCGACTTTCGGCCAATCGCTCGAACGGCGATAAGGCGATCGGACGGGGTCGGGTCGTTGCGCTCGCACGTGAATAACGTCGACGATCGTCGACGTGCGAAGCGGACGCCCGCTCGGATAAAAATTACGTATACAATGTCATACGTATGTGTGTTAACGAACGTGAGAAATCATGGTAGCGCACGTCGAGGCGACGCGTATACATATAAAACGCTCTTCGAAATCTTTTAAAAAACGTCGCGAGGGAGTAAAACGCGGGGTAGGTTGTATGTGTGTGTATGTGTGTGTGTGTTGTTTTCGCGCGCGATCGGCGAAATCGTCCTGCGATGTATATATATATATATATATATTTATATATATATTTTTCTCTTTTCTTCTCTTTCCTCTCCTGAGCGAGCCCGCCGTCGAGATCGAACTCGCGTGAACTCGACCTGAAATTTCTCCTCTTTGCGTCCTCGTCCCTCGCTTGATCTCTCGCGTGCTTCCTTTGCTCTCTTTGCTCTCGTCTTCTTTCACTCTCTTCGTCGATAAAACGATGTATGTACATACAAAAGGCTGTCGCGCCTCGATATATCGAGCAGCACGTTTCGGCCGAAAGAAAAGACCAGACTGTCAGGATTATTACGTGTCGCCAGTGTGTGTGTGTGTGTTTTATGTGTATGTGTTTAATGTGTGTATGTATATATACGGACGCACGTTGAAACGAAACTTTCTCTCTCTCTCTCTCTCTCTCTCTCTCTCTCTCTCTCTCTCTCCCCTCTCTCTCTCTCTCTCTCTCTCTCTCTCTCTGTCCCGGCGTATGCAACTACCCTTCGAGATCGAGATGCGACGATTGGGTTATACAAGGTCCCGCTCGTCCTTTCGGTAACTCGTTCGCGCTTTCTCTCGCGGTAAAGTGTGCCCGGGGCACGCGCGTCTCTCTCCGCGTTCGCATCGCTCTCTCGATTATTGTCACTAAATTTCGCAACGAGCGGGGATCGCTCGATCATACGTCGCTCGATCTCGCGTTCATCTGTACAATATAGATTCTCGTTATCTCGTAAAAAGCTACTTCATAAAAAGCACATTTTTCTTTCTCCTCGACTTCGCTTTTGCTCTCTCGATCATCCGCCGTTCCGGAGCGGCGATGAACAAAATAAACATCTAAAAACTTAAAAAGAGTGGGGACGGCCAGGGAGAGGGATGAAGGAGGAGGAGGAGGAAGAGAAGGGGGGGCCAACGCGCGCGAGCCTGTGCGGCAAGCTTACACTTTAACTTTGCGATCCTCGTGTCGCGTGTAACATGTAACACCACGATGACGCTGCGCGCTTCAACGCGGACGATGCACGCGCCCGTCTGCGCGATCCAACGGCGGCTGTGCGCGACTCGATCGCCGGACATTGCGCCGTTCCGTCTCGTTCGCCTCATACTTCGCCGCGAGAATCCGTCTGACGGAATCGGGACGGGCTCCCGCGTGCCTCGCTCGCGTGCCTCAGGATGACTCGATGCGCCTTAAAGTATATTTTACAAACAAGCGGACATCCTGCAGAATGCTCGCTCGCCGCGCGCGGCTAAGGGGCTCTCGACGGGCCCGTCCATCGTTCGTCCCAGGATCACCAGAGTAGAAGAAGATGGAGACGCGTCGGGTCGTGACGCCTTCCGTGCATTCCGGGTGTACTCGTCGCGTGGCCGGATTGATTCTCTTCTACACGCTAGAAGAGGGATAGCATAGGTGGACGACGGGTGTAGGCAGGTAACTAGATGCTTAGATAGAGAAAGAGACAGAGACAGAGACAGAGAGAGAGAGAGAGAGAGAGAGAGAGAGAAAGAGGGAGGGTGGAAGAAACGATGAAAACGAAACAGGTATATCATCTATCTTACGATTAAAACAACTAGAATCACTTGTGTACCATCACCACGTGGGATACGCTACAGTAATTAACGCATTCTCAGAGAACTAGGACATTAACCCGTACGCGGCAAAGCGTCGTTCTCCCAACCTCCGTTCTCGCCTCCGCTCCATGTCGACCTAGCGATAGTTCTTTTTTTTTCTTTTCCTTGCGTGCGGCAGTGCTCAGCGCTCGTCGTCGAGATTCGTCGACGAGTTTCCTCGCCGAATAAGGGAGAAAACGAAGGAGAAGGAGAAAGAATGAGCGCGCGCGTGTGTGTGTGTGTGTGTGTGTGTGTGTGTGTCTGTGTGTGTATATAGTGTCGTGTCGCGAACCTCGCGCCCTGACGTCCCGTGATCGTCCGAAATGTCCTCGGGATACCACGGGGCACGAGAGCGCGCCGCAGGATTTGCGGAAGGCTCGGCTGGATCGCGACGTGCCTCGACGAGCCTGAACGCGCGCGCGTTCGTACACGCATGACGAACGTATCTCTTTCCTCAGCGCAGATACTCGTGTATATTTTGTATATGTCTGTGTGTGTGTGTGTGTGTGTGTGTATTTTCATATATATATATATATATGCTTTCTTCTGCTTCTTACATATATATATATATATATATATATATACATATACGAATATATATTCGCAAGTATATATATTCATATATAACGCGCGTACGCATGTACGTGTGTATATAGGTCTCTCTATGTGTGTATACAATCTAACTATACATATAACTATTTACAAGTGGAGTTTTCTAGAGCGGGACAAGGAGCGAGGACTCGAGAAGATTTTTATTCGAGATAGAGAGTGAGTGAGTGAGTGAGTGAGTGAGAGAGAGAGAGAGAGAGAGAGAGAGAGAGAGAGAGAGAGAGAGAGAAAGAGTTAGTTTGAAAGAGGGTGTGTGTATCTGTGTGCTCGTCTGAGAATGAGATAGATATCGGTGGAGAGAGAAGGAAGAGGGATATCTCCAGAGGTTTCTGAGGAAGTCGGCTTCAGGGCGGCGGCGTCAGGTCGGGAGTGGCTGGTATTTCGTCGACATGTTCTCCTTCCTCTTCGCTTCCTCCGCAGAGGCGAAGCGACTATGCGCTGCGACTATAAGCGAGGGGGTGGCCGGTGTTGTGATGAGCCCTCGTGTCCGCGTCTCTTTTTCTCTCTCTCTCTCTCTCTCTCTCTCTCTGTGTGTGTCGCTCGAGCAGGTAGATGGCCAACGATGAGGTGTTAGACATCCGTGTACTTGCTCAGCTTGTCGCGCAGCAGCATGTTCTCGTTTTTTAACCGCTCTAGCTCCTGCCGCAGACCCATATTCTGCAAATGAAGCGGCGAATGAAGATTATTCGGCCGTTGTGGGCAAGAGAAGGAGGGCAAGAGCGGAGGAACGGGAGCGGGGAGGCAGGCAGAGAAGATACGAGAGAGCGACAGGAGGTCTTCACAGGAGTGAAGACCGCGCACTCGATGATCTTCGGCTCCTTTACGCAGATTCTGTAACAATCAGACAGTCTCCAAGCGAGAAGCGGCCTCTCGCTGCCACCGATAACCGCTCGGGAGTACTTTGCGTACTCGGGCGAGCGAGCAAAGCCGCGTAAAAAATCAACGGAAGTGCGATATTGCGCCTTGGCCGAGCAGCCGGCGACTCTCGTGCCATCAAACGTGTCTCCGCTAATATCGTCGAGTCGAGGTGACTGCGTTAGACTGCAACCGACGTGTACCGGTTTCGGATTGCCAACCGTGGGAAAACTCACCTCTTTCTCGAGGAAGCCGGCCCTGAGTGCTATCTGGTTCTCCTTCATGCGGCGCGCGTCTCGCGATCGTTTCGCTGCCATGTTGTTCTTCCTACGACGCGCCCAGTATTTGTCATCCTTCAAGTCATCCGGAACGAACTGCGGCCGCAAACGGAAGAGAAAGAGAGAGACGGGGAGAGCGGGAGAGGGAGAGAGAGAGAGAGAGAGGGAGAGAGAGAGAGAGAGAGAGAGAGAGAGAGAGAGAGAGAGAGAGGGAGAGGGAGAGGAAGAGAGAGAGAGAGAGAGAAAAAGAAAGGACACAAGAACATTAGAACGTCCGTATCTAATTGCATCGCGAGAAGCGGTCCGTTCCACGCGAATTTCATTTCGCCTCGGCGTCGTTCCCGCCGAGATCGGAAATCGAAAGCGCGCGGGAATTAAAAGCGATAAGCGTGCGCGCGGGGGTGGGGGGGGCTCACCTGCTTCCGCGATTTCTTGATCATCGGTTGAGGTTTGAGCTCCTCGTCGGAGAAGGCCCGGGTACGTGGATCGAAGTCTCGCCCCGATGAGGCCATCGAGAGCGCTACAAGAGACAAGCCATATTGTATTCGTGACGAGTCCTCGAAATCTGTCGCGCGGAAGGGGAACAATCGACAATGTCGACGTTAGTCTAATTTGCCGTGATATCCTCGCACAAGCCCGACGTTATCGCGATACAGATTCTGAGACAGCGTCTGTTTTCTCTGTTTTCCTCTTCATCTTTTCTCCCCCGTGTCTCTCGCTCGACGCACACAGCTCATTCGATTCGACCAATTGACAAGCACAACGCGCGCGCGCGCATACATGCGGCGCTGTCAATCGTCGTGTCAATGTCGGAAGCGCGCAGATATCTGCCACTTCCCCGTTGCCGCGGGACCGCGTGAAACGCTTCTCAGGATCGACATCGCGAGTGACGACCGGCTACGACGAGAAACAAAAGTAAGACAGTGCAATGAGAGGCCAGCTCTCTTTTACTCACTGGAGTCCGCGGGGGAGGGTGGGTTCAGGGGGTCCGGCGAGCAGCATTCGCTCGGCGAGGGTGACCTTTCACGCTTGGTGACCGGTTCCAAGTGGAGACCCGCTGACCCCTGATGTCCGGCGGCCTCGGTGTTGTTGATTTTATGCAGCTGGCTCCCCTGCATGGCACCCTGTCCGCCGCCAGCCACACCGTCAACGGGGATGCCATTTTCGGAAAGAAACTCATCGAGATCCACGTACTACCAACAGAGGTCCGAGATGTCATTTTCCTGGCTTCTCGGAGCCTTGTCAAGCGAGCAAGCCAGCAAGTCCTATCTTACGCTCCTAGGCAGATCAGCCGGTGTCTTGGTTTCACCCACACACCCACACACACACACACACACACGCACACGCGCACACACACGCATCAACAAGATTTATGAATAATAACGCGAGCGGACTACATCGACAACAAGTCTTGCTATATCGGGTGAGTGCGAAAGTTGCGAGGGACATCGTGATGATGTTGAAAATGGGCTGAGCAATTTTCCTGAAAACGATTTATTCGTCCGACCAAGTGGTGATCGTCATTGCTTGTTGTCAGTCGACGCGTCAACGTATTCGTAGGCGCCGCCATAAGAGAGCCGCGGGAGATCCGCTCAAACTTGTGCGCTCACCCGATATCCGCCGATCTGTGGCCACACGCATTATTCTCACGTCGAAGCGTGATCTCTCGTTGTATCTCTTCTTCTCTCTCTCTCTCTCTCTCTCTCTCTTTTTTTTCTCTTTTATTAAAGTAAGGGCTCGGATCAACGAGATATCTCGCCTAGAGCCCGGGTGCTTCGCGAAGATAGGTCCTGCAGCTGCCGTAAAACTGGCACCGCCACGGGAGGACCGTCTATGCTCTGTACAAGCGTGGGCCGCGCTCCTCGTTTCGAAAGTTCGCGTAAGAACTCGCGAGAAGAACTCGCAGCGGCGACTTGCAGCGCGCTTTCGCGGCAAGTATCTTTGTATTCCGCGCCCCGCTCCGTTCTGCGCTTTGTAACTTCTGCGTGCACCTTTATCGAAATTCAAGCACCGTATCGCGCGCGCCGGAGTGGACGGTGAAAGTTTGCGACGGCGACGGCGGCGACGGCGACGGCGGCGGCGGCGGCGGCGGCGGCGGCGAGAGATCCGCGAGGAACTCGATTCTTTGCCGAAGATCGGACGTACGCGACTCGAGCGAGACTGTTCAGGCTGAAGTAGCGAATTGTTTGCGCGATTGCATTATCCCGCGGCGGAGCCGCGGCGGCGAAAAATATCTGCCGCTGCCGGCCGAAAGATCGGCGAACCTCTCGCGCTCGAGGAAGGAGTCGCCTCCTCCTGCGCGGGAGGGAAAAGGAACGGGAAAGAAAAAGAAGAGAAGAAAAGAAACGAAACGAAACGAACGCAACTCGCCGACAGGTTAGGCCGGATAGCTTTGTAAAGGTAAAAATAATAACGCGGACGGAGGGAAAAGAATAGCCGAAACTTCCTCGATTCCGCCGAGGCAGAACGCGGAGAAAGCGGCCGCCATCGACGCGATTGCATAGCGGCTTAATATTCGGCTTCCCGGTTTCTCGATCCAGGAAGGCGAATTATAACGGAGTAAGTGTTACAACGGGGCGCGATGCAATGGTCCGCTGCATTGATTTCCCATTCTGTTACGTAGCGCGTGTATACACATACGGCGATTTCCGGGCTGCGCACGCGATCCCCGCCGAGGGGGGCGGGGGAGGGGAAGGGGAAACTTTCGGCTCGTGTTGTCGCGCGAGTGCGTAGACAAAAGACAAAAAGTATCGGCCAGTCGAGGGACACGTGGCGAATTCCAGAACGTTCTTATCACCGTCTCGGCTCTTAACCCTTCATCGCGCTGCTTTGCACAGCTCCGCGAAGCAGAGTTTGAACTGGATTTTCTCTGCTGCTCAGTCAGAGTTTAACATTGCCGATTGCTTTGCTTGTTTGAATAGACGCGGCTCTAAGCGGGGAAAAAGAATTGGCCAGCAGTCCGCGCTAGTTTTGCAGATATGCAAAGTGACAAAAAAGATTATTTTTCAAAAAAATATAAGTGAAATATTTAGAAAAAAATTTTGCCTGTATTCCTCGACTGTAATCCTGCGCGTGAGATGAATTATTAATGGTCATTTCTAAAAAGTGCGGGTTAATGAAGGGTTAAGGAAGGGATTACATGCGCGAACACTGTTATATATTATTTTATTCATTTTTCTTAAACGTGCTTACAGATTGAGAAAAGACTGAAAGAGAAAGAGTTTCATCTTCAGTGCTTTTCTTTCTCTTGTACAGTCATTATTTTTGCCAAACTTGGCTTCATTGCCTTCATTTTGATACCGGCTGTATAATGGCGACCGTATATTTTTAAAATCTTTCTCAATTTTTGGTTTTTCAGAGTAGTGAGAGGCCCGGAATTATGTCGACGGCGGAAATACGGAGCTCGCAAACGGATGACTGCATTTTTATCTATAGTTACAAATTCGATCGGTTCTTGCGACTCAATGAAATTTTTTTTATACCTTGAACGTTAATGATTACACTGTGAAAATTTCAAGTCCATTGATCCTACCTACGTTTCTGTTAAAAAAAAAAATTCGTAAAAGCAGCTTTGAAAACGGCCCGCTCCGCATGTAATTCCCCACTTAAACGACGAATATTTCGGCGCGAAACCATGCGTCCCATGCACGAGAGTTTTGCCCCTCGTGAGCCGACTTTGGACTTTGCGAAAGTCCAAAATTCCGTCGAGAGCGAGACGCTTTCCCTCCTTGTGCGAGGCGATAAGAACGCCCAGATTTATAGACGCGTGTCCCAGCGTCCTCGAGATTCTTAGCTGAAGCGACGGGAGAGGATCACACACATATACGCACACACGAGCACGGGCGCAGAGGGCCCACAGAGCATACACGGTACCCGCGAGCGAGTAGTTAGTGGATCGAGTGAAGACACACAAACGACACAAGACGATTAGCTCAGTCTCGGGTTTAGCTTGTGTTGAATTTTGTGTTGAATTAGGTTCAGCCAAATTGAGGGCTTACCGTGTCGCGCCTTTATACATACATGGTTCAGTACCTTCAGGTCGGCATCGTAGGGCAGAGTTTTGTCCCACAGATTGGGCCCGAGGAAGGCGGCCTGCGCTTCCACGTTGCCCCAGAGTTCGCCGTCAGCGTCCTTCTTCTCCTCTGGTCCATCTTTTCCTTGTTTCCCTGCAAGTGCAAATTTCGTCTCGTTAGCTCGGCGCGCCAGTCGTCGTGCGCTCGTCGTTTCTGCGCCCGCCTGAGAAATTTCGCCGCGCGAATTCCTTCGGCCGAATTCCTTCGGTGAAAAACGCTGGAAAATCGTCCGAGAATCCGATAAAGGATAAAAATCCATCTTGCGAGCCACATTTCCCGGCGATGTCTCGTGGCCCGCGGCGGCCATCGGGCGACACGTGTTTTTTGTTGTTTTTAGACGACCTGCGGCTTTTGTGTCACCACGCGCTTTTCTTCCGAAACTTCCGGCGTACGGTACGATGAGAGAGTTCTTTCGCGAAATTCGGCACGCAGCGCGCCTTACCGCGTCTACGGCGACGGTTTTAATTATTCCGCGCGCGGTTGTCGCGCGGCACTTTCCCGCGAGTCGTCTTGTTTAAGCCGCTCTTACCGGAAGTATTAGCAACCTGGCGAACAACGGTAACGAGCGGCAACGAGCGAGTGACGCCATTACGATGCTGTATAAGTGTACAACAAAGGAACATCCCGAGTCCGACGAATATGCCCTCGCGAGCCATGTCATGGAGTTGTACCTCATTTCTCATACGGCGTTCTGCATCGTTGATTCGAACGATCGTTTAATCGATCGTAACTCCGCTCGTAATCGCCGCGTCGATTTTCCTAACGCGTTTCTCGCGACTGAAAATTCCCACGTCGACGAGGCGAAGGGAGACGGAACGAGCGTATGAGCACAGTCCGGCAACCTTGAAGATGCTCATCCAAAAATAGTGAGCTAGCCAAGGTCATCGTCTTCCACCCCACTCCTCCTCCCCGCCCTTCTCTATTCGCCGTCTCTCTCCGGAGAGACTCGCGCTCGCGATTTTGTCTTTTCAAATATCGCTATAAATCTCCGCCGCGGCTCTCGATTATATTCTCTCCCACCCATTCTGTCTCCCTATTATTGGACGCTGATAAAGCAATCGAACGGTGCGTGACGTGGAGAGGAGGAGAGAAAGAGAGAGCGAGCAGCACAGAGAAGGAGAGTGAGAGAGAGAGAGAGAGAGAGAAACGCTCGTGCCGCCGATTTTACTGCGGCTCAAGATTCAACAAAATCGTCTGCTTATTCCGATTCTGCTTGTCGCCGCTTGGACAGCCGTGTCGTGTCCGGGGAGTGTTCGGGTCGACTGTCAAGGCTATGAGAACGTGCCTTGTCACGCTACGATGTTAGTCACTAAGACATTGGATGGAAATGACGAGGATGGTTGCAACGATGATAATGATAATGACGATGATGATGACGATGATCATGATCCTCATCATCATCATGATCATAATGTTGATGATGATGATGATGATGATGATGATGATGATGATGATGATGATGATGATGATGATGATGATGATGATGATGATGATGTGGATGATGATACGGATGATAACGGTTATGATGTCGACGAGGCTGGCGACGACGGCGACGGATAATAATCCGGTCGACGACGATGACGACAGAACGCGGCATAACGAGGATTATAATAACGACGGTCGGAAGCGACGTCTGGCGGCGATAGATGGCAGAGACAGAGAGAGTCGCGAGAGAGCGGGAGTTCAGAAATGAAAATTCATGAAGGCCGGAACCTCCGTTGTGACTCCGGGGATACTCGGCGTTTCTTTCTCCTCACCTCTTTCCCTTTCTCTCGGACTCGTCCATCACGCGTAGTCCTCGCGGCCGCGGCGCGATCCTCCGGCGAATCGGCCACGCTATGCTAATTCCCCCGGCACTTGCTATTTTTTCTTTCTCTTTTTTTCCACCTCGTCGGTGTACCGCCGAATCGACTCGCGCTCGCGAGCCGGATCGCCGAGGTTTGCGGTTTCTGGCGTGCCAATGCGCGCTCTATTCAACTATTGTTGCAGTCGTGCCTGTAAATTCAAGGCTACGCTCACAATACCGCGTCCTGTCTCGTCGACGAGCCTGCGTAGAGACGAGCGCGCGCGCGCGCGCGCGCGCGCGAGTCGTAGAAACGCGCGCGCGATGGAACTATTTCGGAAAAAAAGAAAAAAAAAAAGGAAAAGAAAACCGGGAAAAAGAAAAATTCCGTGAACGAGGCTTTTAGCTAACTCCGACGATAACATCGCGAGTCGCGAGATCGCCGAAAGGAAGAAGAAAATCAGAGAAGAAGAGAATCCACCTCGTTATAAAGTGACACGCTCGAATCGGAAGAAGAGGAGAACTGGGCAATCGGAGGATTAAGGGGCGGCGGAGGGCGGGGAGAGGTCGCGATCGGGCCGATCGCGGCGCGCGGCTGTCGCTCGCAGTTTCGCCCGTCGCCTTAGGTGCTGCTCCCGGCCGGCAGGGATTTCTCTGCAGCATACGCTCCGCTGGCTAAACAACTAAACAACGGCAGGCCGTAATTTGGTTCAAGGCTGCTCGGCCGGCCGGCCGGCCGACTCTGCGGAACTAATCTCGTGTTGCGAGGCGGCATTACCATCGGTGGCACCGGCGAGCGAAACGGCGGGGAAACGGCGCGGCGTGCCCGTTCGCGATGCGGCTGTCGCATCGGCCGACGCGATACGACCGCTGCCGGGGCAGGGGCGCGGGGGGATCTTCCTGATTTGATCCATTCATTCACTGCGAGAGCTGCATTTCCGTACCCTCGCGCGGCCGTCGCCACGACCCCGTTCGTTTGTTTACAGCGGCTGCGCGGAGCCGCTGAACTTGGCTGAAATTTCGAAGTCGCGCGTCGCGAATTTCATCGATCCTGACGTCTTCTCCGGGGGCCTCCTACAGCCGGGACTTGTCCCGTCTTTCGAAGCGCGAGAAGGAAAAAAATATTAAATTTAGACGATAATTACGCGCGCTTGGTTAATTGCGCCGCGGTGTAGATAAAAACAGCGCGAGATAACGGAGTTGGTTGCGGACAAACGTAAAAGCGCGCGCACATATCGCAGCTAACTGCGTTCTACTTTCCGGCAATGCAGCAGAGCGCTGCATAAAAAGAGAAAGAAAAAAAAGAAGAAGAGGAAGAAGGTATTATTTACGCCGCGGCGATGGCCGAGCAATTTCCGCGCGCGGGCAGCCGAATTTTCCGCGGAGGCTCGCAGGACTCGTCGCGGCCGTAAAGGAACAGCCGTGTAGAAGTGCGATCGGGGAGCGTGGTACGGATTCCTCGGCGCGAGTCCTAGATCGCGACGAGAGTTGGAGAGAGGAAACCTCAGCGCGCGCGCGCGCGCGCGCTCTCTCACGGCCGCCGGGGCATCTCTCGGCGATCCGCGGCGATGATTGATCGGCCAGTAAATCGCCGGGACTTAAACGCTGAAAACAATAAACTCGTCGTCGCGCGCGTAAAACCGCGCGCGCGCGCGCGCCCCGCTCGGAGATACTCGTCTCGCCCTCGCCCCCCCTCCCCGTTTCCCGTGCGAGGGACCGCCGCTTTCGGATTACGCGGACGACTAAACCGCATCGCCACGCATGTCTTACCGCGCACATTCGTCGCGCCTGTAGTCGCGAGTCTATCGATTTTCGCGATCGCGCCTTGCGTCACCGCGCGCGCTCGAAAATCCGCCGGTCGAAAGAATGCCGTTTGCTCTCGTCGATTCGTTCATCGTTGTTTGTTTGTTCGTTGCAAGACAGAGCGCCCTTCGAGCTACCATCGACCGACCGCTCGCTAGCTCGCTCGTGGCGCGGCGTTAATTACGCGCGTCCTCCGCGATTTACGAGCCGCTCTCGGCTGTCGCCACGTAAACGAGCGAGGAAGACGACGGACTCGCTCGTGTGTGTTGTTGGTCTCTTCTTTCCCTCTGCCTCTCCTTCTCTCTCTCTCTCTCTCTCTCTCTCTCTCTTTTATTTTTTTTTCTTTTCGTTCCCTCTTCCGACAGACTCACCGGCCGATATATACCGCTGCTCGTTTACGTAATCGACGACACGCGAGCGCGTTCGAGCGAGGATGGACGAGCACGCGAGGGTGCTGCTCGCTGCCGCGGCGAGCGTACTCCTGGCGTGATTCCAGCCAGCTTCTCCCCCGAGACTCCCGATCATGACCGCGCGGCCCGCCGACGTATGAGCGTTCATCTTCGGAGAGGGACAATTCATTCCGGCGACGCGTCTCGGAGGACAGAGAAAAAAAAAGAAAGAAAAATTTCGAACTCGCGTTCGCTTCTTCGGGGCGAGCGGTGGCGGGAGGAGAGGGGCCGATGGACGACGATATAAAAATTCCAGCTGGCGGGGCAGCCGCAGCGGAGACGAGAGACGGGAAACACATCGCTCGTTCCGCCCAAGCGCGCTTTTTCCCCGCCACAATGGAGGCGCTCGGCGCGGCGCGGCGCGGCGCGTCGTCGATAAACCTCCTCGTCGATCAATCGAATCTACGACACAATGGCTCGTGGGATAGGCCGGCTCGTCCGAAATAACCGGCCACCAAGGCCGCAGGAAACCTCTTCTGCAAACAAATGCGATTGTTTGGAGCGTCGTGTAGCGCCGCCGCCGCCGCCGCCGCCGCGATCTATTTCCGCGCTGGGGAATCGCGAGATCGCGCGCCGCGATACGTCGCTTATCGACGACGGCGCAACGTCGCCGGCGGAAGCCGCTCGGGCTTTCGGCTTCCGCGGGATAATCGCCTTCGGGGATGTCCGGCGAACTGCCGGCTCGGACGGAACGAGGAGTCACTCTCCGGCTCTGCAAATTCGCGGCAAATTCGCGGCAAATTCGAGAGAGAGAGAGAGAGAGGGCATTTCTGAGATATTGCGCGCGCGATTTCATACACTTCGTTGAAAATCAGTCAGAGAGAAGGGGAGAAGGAGACTGAACATCCCAGGCGGGTTAACGAGAAACCAGCTCTCGCCGGAGCCGCTGCCGGAGCAGCGGCGGAATGTCAGGCTGCGAGAAGCAGCACTTTCTTGCGGTCGGAAGATACTCGGACGAGAAAATCCGCGGAGGGGGAGGGGAGGGGGTGAGGGGAGGACACCAGGACCAGGAGGGGGGGGGGCGCGATGGAGAACGTGACTTACGATCTGTAAATCTC